AAATGCAATTATTGTAAGAAGCAATTAGGTGGGGAATCAAATAATGGTACTACCCACCTAAAGAATCACACCTAAATATGTGTTCAGAAGAAAATTAGGGATGGTAGTCAAAAGATTCTCGGCCCTCACTATTTGGCTAAAGGAAATCAAGACTTGGTTGCTACTGCTTTCAACTCTGATTTTTCGAAAAGGGAGCTTGCAATTGCTATTACAATGCATGAATATCCTTTATCGATGGTTGATCATCTCTATTTCAAGAGATTTGTCTGCTCTCTTCAACCATTGTTCACTGTTCCATCGAGGAATACTATAAAGAAAGAGGTCTTTAAGATCTATGATATTGAAAGAGCTAAGATTCAAAGTCTGTTTGATATCAACAGAGGTAGAATTGCAATAACTACTGATTTGTGGACTGCCACCAATCAAAAGAAGGGGTACATGGCTGTTACAGCTCATTATATTGACAACTCGTGGGTGCTTAGGAGCCATATGCTTAGGTAAGACATGTAGTTTGTATCTATTTGAATCATTGGTTTCTGTTTCTTAGTTTTTGTTTCATTCCTAATTGCAATTGTTTCTTTGTCTGCTCGTTCTTGTGCAGATTTGCATATGTACCAGCACCTCATACTGCTGAAAGGTTGGGGACAGTGTTGGTTAATTGTTTGCTCAACTGGAATGTCGACAGTAAGGTATCCACCATTACCCTAGACAATTGTAGCACTAATGACTCTATGATTCGTGTCATACAGTCAAAATTAGTGTTACCTGACTTGATAAGTGATGGTGTTTTAATACATATGAGGTGTGCTGCTCACATCTTGAATTTGATTGTGAAAGATGGTCTGGATGTTGTTAAAGAGGGAATTGATAACATTAGGAGCAGTGTTGTTTACTGGTCTGCTACCCCTAAAAGGCTAGAGTTCTTCCTTGAAACTGCAAAGCAGTTAAAATTCACTTCTGAGAAACGACTTGTTATGGATTGCCCTACTCGGTGGAACTCCACCTTTAAAATGCTATCTGTTGCTATTCCTTACAAGGAGGTTTTCACTAGACTGAAGCAACGTGATGCTCAATATAATTTCTTGCCATCGAATGAGCAGTGGCAATTTGCTGCACTTGTTTGTGAGAAACTTAAAGTTTCGAAGTATCCAACGACTAATCTGTTCTTCCCTCGTATTTGTGAGTTGAAACTCAAGATTCATGAGTGGTGTGTTGATACCAATGAAGTTATTCAAAAGATGGGTTATTCTATGCTGGAAAAATTCAGCAAGTACTGGGACGAGATTCACGAAGTCCTTGCTATTGCTGTGATTCTAGATCCACGGTATAAGTTGGAAATTGTTGACTACTATGCTGAAAATTTTGGTGTTGAATTTGATGGCTATTGTTTGGAATCTGTTAAGGACATATTATCTGATCTGGTATTGGAGTACCAAAGTAAAATGAATGAGGAGAGGAATCTGAATGTTTCTGGGTATGTTGGAGTTGAGTCCTCTGCTCCTAGCACCACTGATTTGGACTTTGATCGATTTGTGAGCCAAAGAAAAAGGGCAAGGGTTACTTCTGTCCATACTGAGTTGGACAGTTACCTCAATGAGGAAATTCTCCCTCGTTCTGCTGAGTTTGATATTTTAATGTGGTGGAAGCATAATGGTCCAAAATATCCCACTTTGCAAGCCATAGCAAGGGATGTTTTGGCTGTTCCTGTTACCTCTGTCGCATCTGAGTGTGCATTCAGCTCTGGAGGTCGTGTTTTAGACCCTCATAAGAGCAGGTTGCACCATGCTACTGTGGAAACATTTGTGTGCACAAGAAGTTGGTTGCAAGCTGAGTTGGCTGGAGGTAAACTCTTAACCCTGTTAAGTTAATCTTTTTGTTCAATTTCATTGTTGTTTTAGCATGTTATGTAACTATTTTGACTTGGCTTGCATTCGTAGATGCAATGTAGTCAAAATCGCGCTTTAAAACTTAAAAACTTACGATTTTACGTTTTTAAGTCACTAAAACGCTTCTACACGACATCTCAGTTTTTATGACTAATGTAGTTAAAAACTCCGCTTTAAAACTTAATAACTTACGATTTTACGCTTCTAGATCACCAAAGCGTTTCTACGTAGAAACTCGCTTTTGACTACATTGCGTAGATGATGCTGCTGCTGGAGCAGGAGTGTTGGAAGGATGTTTCTCACCTACAAGTGAAGCCAATCTGGTCCAGCTCCAACCTGATGCTGAAACTACTGAAAGTAATAAGCAAAAAACCTTGTTTCAGTTGTCTGCTTTCTTCCAGCCTTTGATATATGTCAATGAGATTGAGATAGTTTGTTTAAATGTGTAGAGCAAGCCCCTCGTTTCAAGCTTCTTGAAGATTAATCAAGATTTGTGAACTGATACTTAGCAGCAAGATGTAAGTAAAAACTTTTGATTTCTCTTAGTACTTTAGTTGATTTCATGATTTGTGAATTTGGATCCTTAATAACAGTTGTTTTTCCTCATTTTTCAGGTTTTGTTTGAGTTTTGTTGCCTTGGCTGCTGGGTGGAACCAAGGAATGCAGAATGCTGCATTGTTGCTGCTGCTGGAAAATGGAGTATGGAGGCATGAAGTGAAGTCTTTATCTTGCTGTTGTGTTGTTGCTGCTATCGAAGCTGTTCTCGAGTAGTATAGATGTTCTGCTAGTTATTTAAACTTTTGTTTTGCTGATACAATGGTCTTGGTCATTTTGGATTTGATGGTATTTTAGGATTGGATGTTTTCTGTTGAATGTTTTGTTCTTTTGCTACTTCTCCAGTGCATTCTGGTTTCTGGATTTGACGTTATGAAGTTCATGCTTCAGCTTCACGTAAGAATTTGGTTGTGTTTTTTTAATTAATGAACTAGTCGGATAAGTTCCGGGTCCCCGACAAACCCGACATCCGAAAACGGGCGGGCTTGGTTGCTATTTTACATCCGATAACAGCGTTCGGTCGGGGATTCCCCGAACCCGAAGTTCCGGCGGGCGGGTAACGGATCCATATACATCCGACCCCGATCCGCCCGATTGCCATCCCTATTTGCTTAGTTTGCAAAAAATTTCAAACAAATTTTAAATCCAAAATGACAACTACTAGATGAACCTTAACTTGCTCACTAAAATGATAATTACTTGGAATTCTATACCCCCACCCCCAATTTCTATAATGAAAAATGGTGTAGTTGCTCCTAGATGAACTTATTTATTTTGTTACACATAATCACATAAAAATGGGAGTAAAATATAAATAGCGTTGGTGAACTAGAAGCGTAAACTTTTAAACTTTAAATCGTGATTTTGTCCAGTTTCGTACACTTGAGTTCTTACATGGAATCGTAAGCGTTTTGGTGATCCAGAAGCGAAAAGCGTAAGGCTTTAAAGCCCAATTTTCACTAAATAATTGTCAAGAACCAAGTTGTCCCAATAACTTGAGTTGTTGGGGAGATGTTTAATATGGATCTCACGTACAACATTTACCAACACACCCTGCTCAAACGAAAGCCAATGCATACGAGTTCAAACCGTCAAAAACCAGTTAATACCAATAACTCGAGTTGTTGGGAGAAGGTCGTTCCGCTGGGTCTTATACCACTATCTCTAACACAAATTTTGCACATATATCTGAACATCATGTAGCTTAGCAAATGAGGATCGCATCGGAGAGGAGAATCGAACTCCAAACCTCTCGATTCATCACTGCGAACGTACACTCCGATATACCATGTCAGACAAACCAACTATCGTGCGCGCGCGTCGATACGAAACTTTTGTGAGTGGGGGGTGTGAAGGGAAGGCTCGTGGGTCGGTATCTACCCAACCATCTGTCAGCAACTGAACCCAAACCCATCAAGTTGGTCCACCAGTGAGTTGTGTTTATTACCCCAGCTTGGTTTTGCTGCTCTGCTCTGCTCACACTAGTTATCAGCTAGTTTGCATTGTACTATAAACGATATAGGTGACCACCTCACACCCATATTTGGCAATTCCTGCCCGTTCCTACTCTTTTGCTTTATTTATTAACCCGGGCCGCCTACAAGATCTTAACACATCTCATTAGTCTACTGTTCCCATTTTGTTTCTGTATCAAAAGAAAACGGTTGGGCAATTACATCACCTCTCTCTCGTTGTATAGAAAGTTCGTTTACCAATTTTCCTGCACTACCAAACTAATAACAATCTCCCAGGCAGGGCCATCACAATTAGGCAATTAGCCAACCTGAATCATATAAAACCCTAATTGGCTAATCCAAATTGAACTTGTTTCGCTAGCTAATTACTCTGTCGTCTGATTAAAAATTGAATGCATTAGTCAACTTTCAAGTAATTTAGCCAAAAAATTACTTGGCTTGTTGTTGAGGTTTAGCCAAAAAATTACAACATTTTTTTTTTTGCTTGATGTTGAGAGTTATATAACGTTAATTGATCAATTATAATTGAATTGAAGTAAAAAAAAAAGAGTGTTGTAAAATTGTTATTTCTACTAAAAACCGCAAGTTACTTTGCTTAAAACGTTTAGGCGCGCCGGTTAGGCGTGCTAGGCACTAGGCAGGGAATTCTCGAACCTTGGATCTTACTCATATATGTCCCGTACTTAGTGTGTTGACTGAATCACGGACGGCCGGGTACCCCCCACGGGTGAGGGTAAAGCGAGGTTTAATATTGTCGTCGCGCGCGGAGACCAACAGGCAACAACAGAAGTGACTGAATCACGGACGATCTGGTACCCCACGTGTGATGATCATTAATTATACGTTAATTTTTTTACCGTTCGCTACCGAAGCGAACAAAATCGCACAATTCAACAATGTCGGCAGGTGCTCACCCCCGACTGAAATGAACTTCCTCTCCTTGAACAAAATCGCACAATTTTACTACCGTGTACTCCACTTCATTAATGTCATCCCCCCCATCTTCCCTTTTCCTTCCCTCTAATTTCTACAATATTAAAAAAAATTTTAAACCAGTCTTCTCCTTCCCATCTTCTCTCTGTCGCTTACCCTTGCAAAATCCTCCATATATTTGGCAGAGCTAAATGGCGAACCCATATCTGCCAACTGCCCAACTCCCTTCTCCGTCCTCTGCTTTCTCCCCTTCTCTCTCTATAAAGCTACCTACTCTCCACAGCTCCACAGACAACACTACTCCATCTCAATTTTGCTTTCCTTATTTGCTCGCCAGAAAGAAAGACCAAATCAAGTTTTCATTTGCTACTTTAATTTGGGTTGCTCCCTCTTTGCTTTTCCGAGAGAGCAACAATGGAGTTTGGCAGTGTGGTGCAGTTCTTGGAGAACAGGGCGGTTCTGATCATCGGGGCAACTGGGTTCCTTGCCAAGAGTAAGCAGGGGGATCAAAACCGGGGAAAAAAAAGCTTCCATCTTTATCATCCATAGCTAGAGAGCTCAAATGGGTAGTTGATTGATTTTGCTCTTAATTTTGTGTGTATGGCTTTTTTTTGGACAGTTTTTGTGGAGAAAGTGTTGAGAGAGCAGCCAAATGTGAAGAGGATGTACCTTCTCCTCAGAGCTGCTGATGCCAAGGCTGCTTCCCAAAGATTTCACAATGAGGTAAATCCCCACCAAAACCCCCCCCCCCCATTTTTTGGGTAATTTTGGAATGCAAATCATGTATGTCTAAAGACTAAACTTTAATAAACAACCCGTCAAAAGAGTTATACACGAATCAGTAGGTGCTACTACACACACAAAAAAAAACTATCAAAGACTTGTACACGAGTCGTCTGTAGGCGCCACCCCAAAAAAGCCTCGTTTTGATAATTTAATAACTCAAAAAAAAATTCATGTATGAAATTTGATAAAAACCCATCAAAGAGTTATACACGAATCGATGGACGCTTAACCCATATCCATAGAACTTTTTTGGTCTGATTGTATTGTTGTCCTCATGATATAACCATCGTTCTTGGCAGCTTACTTACTTACTTCTCTAGTTCTTAAACACCACGAAATCAGCAAAGTCATATGTGTTATTGGATCAAGGGGTGGACAAAGTAATTAGTTTATGTTACGTATTAATTGTCTTGGAGTCAAAGGTTTTATTTGGTAACCTAGCTAGTTGCTTTAAATGAAAGTGGAGATCTTTTCCCCCCACCATTTCGTGGTCCTTTTTTGGTGGTTTCGTGGGTAAACCTTGTGCTAAATTTATTGGCTGGGGGAGCAGATTGTAGGACAGGAACTGTTCCGGGTAGTGAAGGAGAAATACGGCGAAAATTTGGGTACCACAATAGCAGAGAAAATAGTTCTGGTACCTGGTGACATCTCAGTGGACGAAGGGCTTGGTGTCTCCTCCTCGGAACTCAAACAACAAATGTGGGATGAAGTCGACGTTATTGTCAATCTAGCTGCAACCACCAACTTTGATGAAAGGTATTTTATTACCAATTCACAAAAAAAAAAAAACTATTAGTGTACGCTCGACTATACTATACACTCTGAATTTCGACCGATGGATGAATGCAGGTACGATGTCGCGATGGGGCTGAACACGATGGGGGCGAAGCACGTGATCAGCTTCGCGAAGAACTGCCCTAATCTCAGAGTTCTCGTCCACGTCTCCACGGGTAACTGACTGAGTACCGATTGCTTCTATAGATTACATCGTTCGTCGGTACGTATGTTTTGTCGCTGATTCGTTATGCCATTGTTGCAGCTTATGTGGCGGGGGAGAGGTCGGGGTTGATACTGGAGAGCCCTCATCGGATGGGGGAGACCCTGAATGGGGTGACCGGACTGGACATTCAGGAGGAGAGGAAACTGATAGCCCTGAAGCTGAACGAGCTGCGAGCTGAAGGAGCCTCTCGGGACGCCATTAAAAGGGCTATGGTCGATCTTGGCCTCAACAGGTTCGTCCTTTGATATACTTTATGAGTTTTCTCGTATGTTTTCTAGTATTTGTAGTGTGATTCGTAACTTTTGTAGTGATGTGAGCTAATAATTTGGTTAGCTGGCTAGCTAGGGTTTGTCCTTTTTTCTCTATATTATCTTAATGTTTTGGGCGGGTGATGGTAGGCGAATCCTTGCAGACTGAGAGTAGAATTATTGTGCAATGGCCTCTTGCCCTCTTCTCATTCATAATTCATTGAATTCTTCTTCTTCTTCTTAAGGATTCGGTCTGACGATTTCATTGTTGGGTTTTCAATACGGAGGATTTATGTTCGAATCATTTAACTAGTTTCTAACAGATCACACAATAATCTCTTAAACTAGCGGCATATTTCCAAGATGTCGGGGTCTCTTCGCTTGAATATCCTTAGGCAGACGTACTAACAATGTAGTCCCTAGCAAGTAAAAACGGCCTAAAATATATTTAAAATTATTTGTATCCCATACAGCAAATGAGTAAAAAAAAAATAACAATGCTTTCAAAAATCGGCACATGGTTTTAACAGTCCAAAAAGTTTGAACCATACTTTCAATACAAAATGCTCTATCACAGTATCACTCACTTTTCCAAAACAACTTCCAGTAGAATCTTGTCATTTGTGATAAAATAGGTGACAATCCTATTTTTCCAAACATTAAAAATTATCTAGGTTTCCTTTTCTTTTACCAAACATTAAAAATGTACAGTTGGCCAGTATGCCAAAATTAGCAACACAGTATAAGTGGTTTTCTTTCTTTTTCAGAAATCTACAACATAGTAATAAACTATTGGAGACAAGGACATTTGTAGGAATGTGATTATTGATATCCCTGTGCCAATTTTGTTTTCTGTTCAGGACTTCACGTTACAGTCCTGCATATAGACAGAAGTGTTTGTCTTGACTTGGTCAAGATTGTAAAAATATCTCAGGAACGAAAAAATTATATTAAATTTTGTCCGAAAAAAGAGAGATCAATAACTTCTATCAGGGTAACTCATCTCAAAATTATTTTCGATTTTACTTTAGTTACACCGTATTTAGCTAGAATAAAGTTGTAATTACGTAAAAACCTACATTTCTCGAACCATTTAACTTCATTTATCATGTTAAGATTTAATTCTTGATTTTTTTAATGAAAAATTAATATCTCAAGTTGTTTTCCCCTTTAAAATACACATTCGTACGAGTCGACCTGATCCGACGTGCACCACAAAGTAGAATACCCGACCTGTCGCCGGGTGGATGTTAATGTCGAGATACCCGCCATGACTTGCTCAGGGTCATTCCTAAAACACGGACGCGTGGTAGACTAATCGAGAGGCGTTATTGGATTCTTACCCTAGCCTCCCCGCCGTCACTCTTCAAAGCCTCACCGTCACACTCCATATGAGTTTAAATTTGTGTAACCACGACACCGTATATTTACATTAATCGTCTTTAACGATTCAAACACGAATTTCTTAAGTCATATACTCTGATATCAAGTTGAGGTCCAATTTCATGAAGTTGAAGTTATTGGTCAAAACTCAAACCCAAATTTACTTTTTTTTATGTCAAAGTCAACTCGAATGTGAAGTATACTATTTAGTATTCTCATCTGCATAAACAAACAGTAGGTCACCTAATAAACCTTGCACAACACCACACACCTGGTAGTATCTGCACTTAAACAGGTCACCTAATCAAATCCATAATCAGACCTTTATACTAGGATTATTCTATCCTAATGATTATTTTAAGGTTTCTATGTCTCCTGCCTTACGTCATACTTTCTTTCTTCCTTTCTTTCTTTCTTTCTTTCTTTCTTTCTTTCCCCGGGAAACAAACAGGGCGAAAGAGTACGGATGGCCAAACACTTACGTGTTCACCAAGGCAATGGGTGAGATGCTGGTTGGAGAAATGAAAGGCGAAAACATGTCCGTCGTCATCCTGCGCCCCACCATCGTCAGCAGCACTTTCAAGCAGCCTTTCCCTGGCTGGATTGAAGGCATCAGAACGCTCGACAGCTTGGCTGTCGGCTATGGCAAAGGTCGCCTCACTTGCTTCCTCGGAGACGTTACGGGCATTCTCGACGTTGTAAGATTCATGCACACGAGCCTCTCTCAAAACATAACTCGAATTATCGTAATTCCTAACTAGTTGGTTTATGACACGCGTGTCGTTTTTATGTCGCATGCACAGATACCGGCAGACATGGTGGTGAACTCGATACTGGTGGCGATGGTGGCCCACTCGAACCAGCCCAGATCCGAACCGGTGATCTACCAGGTCGGTTCGTCGGTTCGCAACCCGATGAAGCTCGGGGAGCTTCGGGATTATTTTTTCTCCTACTTCACTCAGAAGCCCTTGGTCGGGAAGGACGGCAACACTATCAGAGTCCGTAACCCTAAGCACCTCGCTAGCATGGAGAGCTTCCACCGTTACATGGCCTTCCGCTACTTGTTCGCCCTCAAGGTATAATAATGGATCTTATACTATAAACCAACAACGAAGACTGCAACAGTGGTTAAGGTGTTGAACTCGTGTGACAAAATGAGTTTTACGCTATCTTACTGTTTGCAGGGTCTGGAGCTGGCGAATGCGGCCTTCTGCCACTTCTTCGACGGAGTGTATAGCGATCTCAACCGTAAGATCAAGTTCGCCATACGGCTCATGGAGCTCTACCAGCCGTACCTCTTCTTCCGTGGAGTGTAATATACGACACATAACTTTACCATTATTTCTTACGTAACAGTTATCTGAGACTGAGACCGGTGTCTGATTTCGATATATTTTCGGAAACAGGTTCGACGACATCAACACGGAGAAGCTGAGGATGGCGGCGAAGGACAACGGAGTGGAGACGGACAAGTTCTACTTCGACCCAGCCGAGGTTGATTGGGAGGATTACTTCATAAACATTCACTTGCCTGGGCTGGTGAAACACGTCGTCAAATAGAAAGGGAACTGGATTACTTTATGAGACAAGACACACAAAGTATATCTTACATTATTTATGCCGGCAAATTGGTGGTGGCTGATCTCTGGATTTACAAGAATAAAGGAAGAAAGTCAATATAGGATTGTTGTTCTTCACGTTTACACAATTTATTAACAGGGAGCAGAAGTTTGGATTGATTGATTGATTTACAGAAAAGAATGTAATCACATTATTGTTTGTTGGGACTTTGATTTCTCTTATATTCCATCATATGATTCTTCGTGTATTAATTAGACTTACCTCGAGTCCGGAATAGTATGCTGAACAAGAATAGAACACGAAAAACTCAAACCAATTATCGAAAAATGCTACATACCAAGAGAACAGTTGCTTGCAGAGCTCCATATTGCCAAAAACATGGAACTTGTTTTGATGACAATGATCCAGCTAAGGATGAGAGGGAGACCTGTCTTTCCTTTTCCCTGTAAGGGTTGTGGTTTTACTGTCGCTGATCTCGGGGGCATCCAAGCTTTGTTGATGGCCCTTGCAGGAGCTCTCATGGCCGTTGTCAGAAGCTTCCATGGCCAAAGATTGGTTCGAGGTTTTATCTGCAGAACTTGTCCGTGTGATGCAGAGCCACGTTTGTGCAGACTCTTCGCTGTCACTGCCAGCTATAGGGACATGCCATGATCCCTTCTCTGATTCCTGGAAATCAAAGAGATTTGGAAAATGGTGTTTGGTTTGAAATCATTAACTGCCCATGGTAATAGAATCTTGCAGCAGCATATGTATCGATCGAATGCTGACAGGAAACAAACCATGGCGTTACCTGGATAACTACAGAAAAAGGAGCTGGCATCTGAAGTTTTAAGGTACCTTTTGCAAAAGTGTACTTTACCTGCAAATGAAAGAAATGAGGAGTCAATAATACGACAAAGACCGGTTTACCTGCAGAAAATCCTCAATCAATGAGCAACAGGCAATTCTTGGAAGCTCTAGATCCAAAAGCTTGATTAGGACCACTACCCAGTGACTATTACTTAGATAAAATGTTCATCAATGCATGAGCTGAAAAGAATGTAAATCAGAGGAAATTTATATGTTATCCAGCTTCCCAACTGGCTTCACCATGTTTATAACTAGGGATTCAGCAATCAAGAGAAATACATTGCTCGCTCATCAGACAAAAAGGTAACAGTTATTACATACTTGATGCCTTTCTTTCCACTTGAGGAAGAAGCTGCTTCCTAAGAGTTCGAAAATGTGATCTCGCATTTCGTCATTAGTCACTAGCAAGCACCTGAGTTTGACTGCAGCATAGAGCCAGTACCTAAAATCCAGAGGAAGGCATCATCACTATAAAAGAATCTCCCATTGCCAGCAAATCACAACCCATCACAAAAATTCAGAAGTTTTTACATACAGAACGCCTGCTGCTAGAAACTTCATTGAAAGAATTGCAAATAGTCGTGTATCCATGAATATTACCAATCATCATTAGAACCATGCGGCGTTGTATAAAGAGCACCATTCTCCTCCCACTCTTCAATCAACTTCCTGTGGGAAGCATTTTCAAGGAGAGCTCGAACACGCTTGTTGTGCAAGACTATCAGCGGCCATTTCCCATGTCTATCATACAGTTCTTTCACTACAGCATGAAGCTGCTCTATATCAATACAAACAAAAGCACAATAAACAACGAAAATTAGCAGTCTGTTCAATGTTTAAAAGGACAAAAGAAAAAACAGAACTTTCATGACTATATTTCAGAACCTGAGAGACACTGAATCCCCCTTCAACAAAATTCTGCTGAAAGAGACCCACATTTGCTGCATCTACGATGGCTTCATAATGACCATTCTTCTCCAGCCAATCCTATCAGCAATATACATAAAGGCATCCCAAAAGAACCATAAGCTTCAAGAAACTTAACCCTGTTCAATTCTGACTCAGTTATTGACAGTAATTCACCATCAATTCAAATGGTAACTGACCTGAAATTCACTAAAATTAGCCTTAACCTCCCTATCCAAAGCCAAACCTGCTATCGATCGAGCAAACACCTCGGTTTCTTCATCAGCAATATCAACACAAGCCAATTGCTCCCCACAACATAAACATTTTCCATCAACATCAACACTCCCTTTCTCAACAACCCACTTCCCTTTTCCAATCCATCCCAATCCATGCCATCCTCCACCATTCCTATCAATGGCATCTCTAATCAAACCCAAATCCAATTCGATTTCCATCCCATCGCAATCAAATCGGTTGAACCAATTCCTAATCACAACCGAAGTCTCCTCCCTCACACACCTCACAATCTTCCTCAATTTCTGCAGATATTCGTATACCCGATCACGCTTACCAGTCTCTGAACTCACCTCAAGCAACGCCGCAACCTCTGCTTCCTCCAAAGCAACACCATTCCTTCCCATGTGCTCCTCGACTTCAAAACCCTTCTCCGCCTCCAACTTCTCGCAGAAGCAGAACAGCGCCGGACCGTAAGTCCGCAGCCGGGGCAGCGAGTTAGGTAAGGGGACCATGTTTTTCACCAGATCGAAGGCGCGGTCGCCGTCCCCTGTGGCAGCAGCGAGGCGAGCGACGGCGTTTACGGAGGCCTCGTTGGGTTTGATCCCGCTGCCCACCATGCGATCGTATATGCGGAACCCATGTTCCAAGGCGAGGTCTTTGGTCGATGGGTCGGCGAGGGAGATGGAGCAGAGGTAAAGCAGAGTGTTGAAATGGTGCTGGCTGAGGCGGACGCCGGTTTCTTCTCCTGCTGCGGAGTCGTAGAGGGAGAGGGCCGAGCGGAGGTCTTTGGATTTGGAGTGGGAGTTCAGGTTGTAATTGAATTGAGCTTCCGCTGATTGGTTCTTCGCCTTCTTCTTCCTCGGCGCCGCCGCAGCCATGGATGGATTTGGAAAGTGCTGAGGGTTTTGGAAATATTGGTTTGCCGCGCCATTTTCTGTTTCATTCACTTTTGGGCTTATCCTGGCCCAGTATTATTGGGCTGGGGCCTCACTTTTGGGCTTATCGAATAGTTGTAACATCCACAGCAATTTGTAAATAGGAAAGTACATGGTCAATAGGTGACCGGGATCTCCGTCGGAGTGTCGCCGGTAAATGCAAGCTCCTCTCAACTGCTCCGAAGTAAACACCTGAGATCGGTGGTTCCCAAAGGCAACAAGGAAACCATTTTCTCAGAACAATGAAGGCGGCGGCAACAACCAACAAGCACTTTGACAGTCACCATTTTGTTGAACACAAATTTGGACAGAGCCGACGGCGACAAGAAGTGGATATACCCTGCTCGCCGGCGGAGCTTAACGGGTCGTTTGCTTCATGGATTTGAAATATGAGGGTTTTGGTAAAACCTGGGTTTTGAAAAACCATGGATATATGATGGATTTGGTGGCATCATGGATTTTAACAAGTCTATTGTTTGCTTGTTGGATTTGATAATGGATTTTATTTGATTAGATTTGTGGATGTGAAACGCAAATTACCTTGTTACCCTTATGTAATTATATTTTCATTAAAAATAAATCTAATGCATACAAAGTAACCGAACTTCTACTTTGTGAACTCGTTCAATTACAAATATAGAAATGCATAATAGTTTGGACATGACACAACTCCGTAATTTTTGGATCTAACTGTCGATATAGCAATAATGCACAAGATGAGCAAAAAGTGTTAGAAATATCAATAGAGGACCAGTAAATAGAAGACTCAGTAGACGAAGATGTGAAATTCAACCATAATTGAAAATGTCCGGATTTTTTGGTCAAACTCGAGCACCACGCTTAATCCAAAATTTCATCCCGAAATTCACAATTTATGTGAGAAATTAATGTTAAACAAGCCCAAAAAAAAGAAAGAGACAAGGAGAAACAAACATGAGAGTCCTTTATCATTCATTGTTCTATATGAAAAACTGAGGACGGAGAGTTGGAGGCCGCCACCGGGGAAGAAGGAAGGGTAGATTAGTCATTAGGTAAAATAAGTAGGGATAAATTAGAAAAATGTCATCATGGATTTAAATCCATCACCCAATTCCCACCTCCATAGGTGGAACTTCCAAGTCCGTGGGGTCCACGGATTTGGACCTCCAAACTCTGTGGGTCCCACGGATTTACTCCCTCCAATTCCATCAAACAAACAATAGACTTTTGTCAAAGTCCATGATAAATGTAAGTCCATCACCAAATCCATCAACAAAACCTTGAAGCAAACGACCCGTAAACAACTAATAAAGTACAGGATCGACAAAGTGGTAGGTGAAAGTCATCGTCGAGTCAACAGTTCATTTCCAAGATTGGCCCGACTCTTTATGATCCACAGTGAATAAACATTTTAAGTATGGCCAATTCGTCGACCAACCAACCCACCTTCCCTATACCTGCAATCAAATACCACTGCTTCTACACTTCTACTTCAAGTTCTACTGCCTACTAGTACTACCTTCCCTGTCTCCTTCTCACAGCTAAAAAAATTCCAGTTCACGCCCAAAAACAATGGCGGATGGTGAAGTAAGAGTGCTGTCCACAGGTTTAGTTCAAGCAGAGGGGCTTACCAAGCTAGCAGCTGCTGCAGAGGAACGAATTCCCCTCACTCCATGCGACCTGCGTATCATTCTCTTCGGGACAATCCAAAAGGGGCTTCTCTTCCGCAAACCCACCAATCCTTCAATCGATCAAGCCACCTTGATCCAGACCCTCAAAACCTCCTTCTCCCGCGCGCTTGCCCTGTTCTACCCCTTCGCCGGCCGGCTCTCCGTCGACAAACACGATGACGACGGCACCGCCTCCGTCTACATCGACTGCAACAACGCCGGCGCTCTGTTCGCTCACGCCGTCGCCGACGGCGTCTCCGTCGCCGACATCCTCGACCCGCTCTACGTCCCGCCGGTGCTCTGGTCGTTCTTCCCCCTCAATTGGATGATGAATTACCACGGGTTCTCCCAACCCTTTATAGCAGTTCAGGTCACGGAGCTCGTAGATGGGTTCTTCCTCGGCTGCACGATCAGCCACGCGGTCGCCGACGGCCCGACTTTCTGGCGGTTTGTGAATTTCTGGTCCCAAATCTGCCGTTCCCCCGGTGGTGGTGGGGATTCAGCCAATAAGTCGCAGGTTTTCACCCGGCGCTGGTTCCTCGACGAGAAGCATCTGCCGATTAGGCTGCCGGCGGCGATGCTCGAAGATTTCAAACAAGATCCCATCCCAATCCCGCCGCAGGAGCTGAAAGAGCGGGTTTTCCACTTCACCCGCGAGAAACTCGCGGCGCTGAAAGCACAGGCCAACGACGAAGCCGTCGCCGCCTGCGGCGGCGGCGGCCAGATCTCGACTCTGCAAACCCTAATTTCCCACATCTGGAGGGCGGTGTTTCGAAACAGAAGCGAACCGGATCCAGATCGGGAGGCCCATTTCCACCTGCACTTTGGGCTCCGATCGCGGCTCAAGCCCAAGGTCCCGGAGAATTACTTCGGGAACGCCATCGTGGGCCGGCCGGTGGGCCTGAAGGTGAGCGAGCTTCTGGAGGCGGAGAAGGGGCTGGGGCGCGTGGCGGCGGCGATTCACGGAGTGGTGGCGGAGCAGACGGACGAGAAGCTGAAGGAAGCGGTGGAGGATTGGATCGGGAACCCTAAGTTTGTGGGGACTGATGTGTTTGTGGCGGGGACGATGGGGCTGAGCAGCTCGCCGAGGTACGACATTTACGGGAACGATTTCGGGTGGGGGAAGCCGGTGGCGGTGAGGAGCGGAGCCGGGAATAAGTTCGACGGGAAGGTTACGGTTTTCCCCGGAGTGGAGGCGGGGAGCATGGACGTCGAGATTTGCTTGTCGCCGGAGACGGCGGAGGGAGTGGGGAGGGATTTGGAGTTTATGGCTGCAGTCGGCGTATAAAAATCTGGCTGTGAATTTTTTTTTCTTTTTCTATTTCAATCAGCTTTTGGTTTTGTTAAACCGATTTAATGATTTCCAACTCGGGGATGTAATGATTTTCAATGCTGTCAAACCGATTTATATCGTTGTTTCAGCATGGCGAGCATCACAAACTTCTAAAAAGAAAATTATTTGAAGCTCGAACAACTCATCAAGCCATTTGCAGCTCCTTGCATGTTTCATAGTAGCTCAAATCCTCCTTCGAGAATTTGTAACCGCCAACAAAAATTATGCGTTGCACCGATATTGTAGGGCATGTGGTTTCTTGCTTCGAGGTTTCGGGAGCTCCTCTTGATTGTTTAAATACATCATCTTCATGTGTTGATTCCTGGGACAACTCAACTTCATGTGTTGATTCTTGGGACAACCTAAATTGGATCTTCATCAACATGACCCTTAGCTTTCTTGGCTCGCATTTTGATACGATCCATTATTCAAAATCCCCTAAACCTGTTTTTGTAAATAAGTCATACACAATTAATATTAATCATGAAACCAACTAGTATTCAAATATTGGTAGACATCAAGTATTCCAACAGGGTTACAACTAGCACTCCGTAAGTTATAGTTTGTATTCACCAGGAAAGTAATTATTATTCGAAAACTATGTATGCAACTGCCAACTAGTTTTCAATCATGCACATGTATTCAAATATTCTACAAAAAAAAAAAAAAAAAATTGTAGGCAACTAGCATTCAACTGGTTACAACTAGTACCCATCATGTAAGCAACTAGTATCCATCGTATAAGCAACACTGTAGACGATCACTCATCACATACATTCTATAACTTGAACCAACTCGAACAAAGAACACGGATTCTGCGAGTCTGTGATTCCATTCAATCATTGCTAGGGTTTCGAAGTGAGAATAAGCCAATAGCCACAATCAATCCAAAATTCCCAACAAACCCCCATAAGCCCAATCGCATTAATCACTACACCATTCATTTTTCATGTATACGAACTCGAACCAACCCTCCCCACTCCTTCGTATTTAGTAAATCCTAAGCCCTTATCAAAATGAACAAAACTTCAATCAAAAGGCAGGACGCCAATATGAATGCAAAGGTAGAGATATGGATCGTGGTTCCTTGTTCTGCTCTGATCGTTGTTCTTGGATTCTCTTGTACGAAAGCTCGCTAAAGTTTTGGTTCATTGCCTCTAGGTGTCAGAAAACAACGAAGTAGGAGAGAAGCAATTGCTTGAGTTGGAAGAAGGTTTACTATCACTCACCGCTATTCTGACGTCGACGAGCCGAGTTATGCTAGAGATGGGGACGATTTGCTGTGGGTATTCTTCTTATGCAAGTAACAATTTTGCGTATATAAATTTGGGTTAAATTACACGTTTGGTCACTCAAATTACATAAATCTTTCACGTTTGCCACCCGAATTACTTTTCTTTCTAGTTCGCCACTAACTTTATGATTCGTTTCACCGTTAGTCACCGGCCGTTAGTCTCCGTTAACTCCGTTAGTTTTTTGATGACGTGGCAAACGGAACTGCTGACTGGACCATCAATTTAATGACATGTCAATTAAAAAAAATAAAAAAATAAAAATAAATGCCCTTTTCCCCCTTCCACGTCTCTCTCACTCATGTTCAAACCTTCCCTTCTTTATAGCAGCAGCCGCTCAAGGTTATCTCCCCTGAAATCGTCACTAACTTCAACTCCAAACGGCGCCCTACTCCATTACTCTTCTTTTTTCTTTCTGTGACCCGAGCAGGGCAATAAATGGCGGCGGATGAGCTGTTGGCGAGGATCTATGACGAGTGCAAGTGCGACGATTAGCCTGGGCAGGAACGAACCCGTCGAAGGAGCCTTCGACAAAGCTTTGACTAGGCCTTCTGCTCCGAGCTCGTCGTGGGTCCTCAAGTAATTGGGGACGAATGGCAGGGAGTAGGTCTCCAGCGATGGTCTAGCTTGGTGTGCAGATCCGCGCCTTGGCGGGAGGAGGGACCGACGGCGATGTTGGTGTCGAGGTAGTCTGGCGGTGGCGTGACTTTGAGACAGCGGCAGAGAATCGACGACTATACAGCCCACCGGGAGAGTGGAGGCCACGACGTCTCCCTCGCCTTCCTCCTTATGGGTGGGTTATTTCCCCTGCACTGTTCTAATTCAATTGAAATTGAATTAATTATATAGAAACCCATCCAATATAGTCTATTTAATTCAAGGATTGGATTCAGTTAGTAATTTGGGGGTGGATGCAGGGACATTGTCAATCTAGTGGGTTTACTTTTGGATGCAGGGACATTTGCTCTCAGCGCTGCCGCTACCTTTAGTTGGACGGCGATGGTGGCCGGAAGTAATTGAGTTTCGGTGGTCCACAGAGAAACACGACTTGGTCGGAGGTCGGTGGCTGTTGTGGACTATCAGATATGCACCCAATCTCTCTCAAACCTTGAGCAGCTACTGCTATAAAGAAGGGAAGGTTTGAACATGAGTGTGAGAGACGTGGAAGGGGAAAAGGGCATTTATTTTTAATTTTTAATTTTTTTTAATTGACATGTCATTAAGTTGACGGTCCAGTCAGCAGTTCCGTTTGCCACGTCATCAAAAAACTAACGGAGTTAACGGAGACTAACGGCCGGTGACTAACAATGAAACGAATCGTAAAGTTAGTGGCAAAGTAGAAAGAAAAGTAATTCGGGTGGCAAACGTGAAAGATTTATGTAATTTGAGTGACCAAACGTGTAATTTAGCCTATAAATTTGACTAAAAAATTGTGTATATTTATGGGTTAGACTTAGGGATGGCAACAAAACCCGAACCCACAGGTACCCACCCGACCCAATCCGGTCAACACGGGTAAAACCCGTGTTGACGGGTTTTGGGCCGGGTTCGGGTTTAAACCCTCTACACTATTCACCGGGTCGGGTTGGGTTTGGGTTTAGGTAAACCCGCCCCATGGGTACCCGCCCACACATATAATTACTTTCCCGGTATATTTAATATTCTAAATAATATATCTTCCTTAAACAACTAATATTCTTTATGTTTGTGGAGACATGTATAATTTTTTCATTTAGAATGAAGTTAATATTATGAAATGGAGAGTGAAGAAACTTAGTTGACGATGAAGAAGCTTTCAATTAATCTTATTATTTATAGTTGTTTATCTTTATTGAACAATTTGTATTGATCATTTGCGGTTTGCTTGTATGCTCTAGATTGGTGTTTTTTGTATGAATAATTTGTATGAGAAAATTTATGTTAAAATTTTTATTTTGAAAGAAACTTGTTATTGTAAATTTTCTACCACAAAAACTCACGGGTACCCATGAACCCGCGAATACCCAGCGGGTTGGGTTGGGTTTGAGTTTTTCAAACCCACCGGGTTTTACCCCGGGTTTTTTTGGGGGATAAACCCATGGGTTTGAGTTTGGGTTTGACAAAACCCGCCCCAACCCGACCGATTGCCATCCTAGACTGATGTACTTCTACAATATACCGGCCACGACGTCGTTTCGTCACTGCCTTTCTCTCTCTTCCGGTTCTCTTCTCCCTCAAACTTCCACTCTCCATCCAGCTTCCCCTGTGCCGTCGCCTCTACTACCACCCTTCTCTCCCTTGCTCCGCCGCCGCCGCCGCCGTTGCCGCCCAGGCTCCACTTTCGATCTTTCCACTTCCAGCCCACCTTGTTGCGCCGTCCCACACGCCTCCCATAATTGACTGTAGCGCGCTTAAGCTAATTTCATTAGGGGGCACTTCTGCAGAGACTTCTCTCGACGGCTTATTGCTAAACGCCATTCATTCAAAAAGGGTCCTCTCTCCCTCTCTTCTTCCAGCATTTTGGAAGCAAAGATTGTTCCTTTTATACTATTGTTTGAAGAAAGACAGAAGCGAGGGGCAGACGGCGACCTGTGATCATTTCGGTTAGTATGTAACTTGGGTTGTGCTCCAGGTGTTTGATGAAATTCCTGAACGAGCTTAAATTTTTTCGGCTACTATTCAGTTTTTCCCGAATTTCGGTTTCAGTTATGTAGTGTTAGTTTGTCTGAGATTTCCAAGCGGAATGTTGTAGAGTGATGTTTGGTTCTGATTGTGGAGTCTGCACTCTGCTGGAATTCTGATTTCTCACGCTGGTGTCGGTCGGTCTCGTGTTTTTTTCTTCTTCCAGGTCCTGCTACACTGAAATAAAGGGAGTTCACTTGAACAGCAGCCATGGATGGTACGTTTACTCTCCTCTTTTGTATACCTCTATGGAAATTTCTCAATCTAGAAATGGCATTTTGAAGACTTTGTTTTAGATGTTGGTGCTGCCTATATTCAGGGTCTTAAAGTAACAGATAGTTGTTTCATCAAGAATTTCTTTGCCTTGCCATGGTAACTCAATTGAACTCTGAATAAGAGCTGAAATTGGTTTAGTGTCGAGGTGGAAACAACAATGGATCCTGTTTAACTTCTTATTTGTATTATGTTTTTTATTTGTATGGTTTCATCCTTGATTGATACTTGCAGAAACTGTGTTCTTATTGCCTATTTGCTTTCAGTTGATGCGCAGCCAACCATGGAGGAAACCATATTGGTCGGAGAAGACCTAATGTTGGGGCCACCATCTCCTATCATCCCGAAAGAAATTGCCTCTCATGTGGTGGAAGGAGTTGAATTATGCGATGGAGTCTTAAAGAACCTATTTCTATGTGAGTTCTCGTTCCTTTGTTAAGAGTAGCAACAGCTGTTCTTTCTGGTCACTAAGTCTAACTGTATAACCAGTGGCTGCTCACGAGTGTCTGAGAGATGATAGTAGAGATCAAAGTACTTTTCCAGTCTGACCCAGTCTGGTAACTAGGGACCGATATTCTTTCTTGCTTCTTCATGTAGGCTTGCAAATCCATGACATTGAACCTTTCTGTCAAGACGAGCTTTCTTTGTACAGAGAATGTGCTGAAAAGCGGGTGAGTTGGATTCATTTTGCTGCATAACAGCATCCATTTCTACATTAGGATTTTGGAGAGTTGGATTGTGTTTATCTCAGGAGATTTAATGTTTTGCCCCCTTCTTTTGATGTCATCGGAGACTTAATGTTTGATAAATGCATTTCAGGATAAGATGCTAAGGCAACGCCTTCAAGACAGTGAACACAAATTGGGGTTATCAATGCCCTTGGATCAGGCAAAGGATCGTGTTGCTCAACTTGAAGCAGAAGCGACAGCTTTTGAAAGGTAGGTTGTTTCTGTGTGGTTAGTTCTTCCCCACCCCCAACCTCTAAATGGCTACAACATCTTAACAGCGGTTTGCTTGTCTTAATTATTATCTCGAAACTGAATTTATTCTGTTATAAGCTGTATGTTCTTGTTCTGAATTCCAAACGCTCAATCTGCAACACACATGCCTGCAAATACCATTGATCGTTATTGTAATTATTGTCATAGAGTACCTTTAGGCTTAAGCTTAACCGAGCATGTGATTATGAGAAGGTTGTAGTCCTTTTCTGTGAAAGCAGTTCCACATGACGAGAAATAAATGCTCCATGTACAATCTTCAGCATACCAACATTATTTTTTGAATTCGAGCTTAATGGAACCTCTTGTGATGACATTTTCAAACTTAACATCTATGAGGACCGAGTATTTTGACTACACTTATCATGCAGCAAAATATCTTCATATTTGTCTCCGATTTTTTGAATCTGGTTTGTTAGGATTAGATTCCTGGATTGTCCTGCTAACCATATTTATCTCCGTGCTTGGCTTATTGTTAGGCGCCTGATTCTTGCCAGTGGAGTTGAAGGCATTGAAGGATTTCGCCAAAGATGGAGCTTGCATGGTCGTATGAGTGACACCAAGTAATGCTCATTAGTCATTAATAATATCCTTGTGATTCTTAGGCTGTGCAACTTGACATGCATTTCCGATGTGAATGTCAAACCCTCCCAAAGGGGAATCTGTAATACATAACCTTATCCTGCAGATTTCGTTCATAGGAACCTAATCTGATCTTTCTGTTTGGTCTGTGCAGGAGACGGCTGGAGGCACTGAAGCAGGGGATGGAAGGCAGAACGCCTGAGTTAAAAAAGGACGAACCAACTCCAGCACCTAATAAGAAAAGATGGTTTCTCTGGTAACATGTTGTGGGAGTTCCGCTTTTTGTTTGGGCGCCGAAGGGTCCTAGTATGAGTTAGTACTCTCCATTTTTGAATCAGCTTCATTCGAATTCCGATAAAGGATGTCGATCCTGTGCAGTTGATTTAGCCGGTACAGTGAGTATTAGGAGTGGAATCTGGCTCTAGATCATTACCAAAAGAACGAATGTATCTCTCATCACTACATGATTTCTTTTGTAAACAATTCATCTCTTTTCTACACATGCATGCTACAATATTTACATGTAATTCCCCAGAGGATATCTTTTGTAATCACATATGCACCAGTTTTGTTTTGGTTCTGGTGACCAGTACAAGTGGACAGAAGCTAGCTACTGAATCCATCCAATATCCATGAGGTGCACTCTTCGAGGAGTTGAAACTTCTGATGGCGAGCGACGTTGAATAATATCTGCATTTTGCTTCGAAACTCGGCTGGATCCTCCTTGCACCTGTATGATCCAGCACACCCGCATTGTTCCGCTAAATGTGCAGCTTTCACCCGGTTGCACCTCAGGCACAAAAGGTCCTGCAAATGGTATAGACGCTCTCTCTGCCGCACGATTTGGAGAAGGGCATTCTCCATCGCTTCTCGGTCGTAAGGCTGCCCACACTGCGGCATGGGGCATCGCCATTCTTGAGATTGTAGAGCTGAGTCCTGGCACAGGTCCAGGTCTCTGCAATCGTTGCAGTAGCTGTGCAAACATAGGATAAAATATCAAGCCCAGATCAGCATAGGACCAGGTTGAAAACTAGGGGAGAATGAGACGTATGTTTTATCTATGATTTGGTCAACTTTTTTTGTGTGTTCTTAGGAGGATCAGTGGGCTCGAAACCAAATCAACTTATATTCAATTCAATTTAGTGTTAACCTAATCGTTGTACACATCTAATCAAAACTTATATTACTGGCTCGTTCAGATGTTTGAAAAGTTCAGCAAGAAAACCTGATGCTATTATTTTTATGAAATTCATTCTCATACCTGCAAATTACGTTAGGTAAAACGAAAGAAGAGTGTGGATCATGAAACTCTGCTTCAGGGGCAAACTCCCGCACCCGTACATATTTGAGTAGGTTCTTTCTCATCACCTGGAAGGAACACAATCGCATTGCTTGTAAGTCGGAATAACGAAAATGTCAACCGAGTCTCAGCAACTCTCTGTTCGTACAACAATTACCAGAATCTCATGCTGAACATTCTGGTCAAGCGCCAGAACGGCGCAGACATGCTTGATGAATTCCAGGGCAGGATCCCCAATGTGGGTCCTGCCCATAACACCAGGTGGAGGCGACTGATTGTCGTTTTCAGACTTGTTTGTCCCTTTCATGTGAAGTACAGTATCTCGAACGATTCCTAGAAGCTTGTCCGTGAAGTAAGTGCCTATCTGAAACCGAGGAAAAAGCAATAGATTCAGAACTGGATTGACACAGATATCAAGGAAATGTGAAACATATATGAAGCTGCCAGTATTTCTCCTGAATAATACCTTATCTCTGAGGTGTTCGGCCAACAGCGATTCAAAAGACTCAGCAGCTGCTATGCTAATTGATGGAGTGCTAGAAGTGGAGTCTTGCAGAGATGCTCTTGTTGCGGCTCTCTTTCGGGCATAATCCCATGGAATGAACATGAACTCAGAGACAATCAACACAAAATGATCCTGCAAACGAACCATGGCCAGGAGCAAATTTAACAAATTGACAAGGGACGCAATTCAGCCACTGTAACGCCAGAAAGATGTATGTATTTGTAAAGTGCACTCATTCTATAAGAATGTAAAGCAAGGAACTAGTTTTTTTTTTTTTTTTTTGTTGCCAAAACGTCACCTGAATTTGCTTCGGCAAGTAGTCAGCAACGTTCCAGCTTGACACAATGTCCACTTGAGATTCTTCTCGTTGGGAATGATCGTCTTGTGAGTCATTTTCTGAAAGACCATCAGCTTTTGCAGGAATTCCCCCATAATTATACTGTCAGAGAACCAAAATTGCAACGAGTCAATTAGCAGCTTTAATCAGTGGGATCAGGCATATAAATTCTGATGGCAGAATAAGGAATCAACCAAAAGCTAGGAAGAATGAATGACATTTTAAGCTGTATGGTTGAGAAAGTCTGAAAGTGCAAATTAAAACCATCAGTGACCTCCTAGTGCTATAAGTTAGCTTGCACCAAAGTATTTCAATCGTATGCAAACTTCAAGTTAAATCACCCTATATGTGTATTTTCCCCTATTCTAGTATTCTAAGCTTTTCTTTCTTCAGCTACACGGTGATTTTTCAAATGTTCAGTCCGGAAAGGTTAAGGCATGACGAGGGGAAAAGCGGGATCCCGCATTTGTTAATCTAACTTATTTGCTAAACAAATAGACCCAAAAGTCGAGACTTGACTTTTCAAAACTCGAGAGATTTGTGTGGCAACCAAACCTGATCCATAAAAAGTAAAGTATGCCAATACTGCAGCGGCTCAAGCTCAATCCATTCAAACAGTTCCCTACAAATAGCCCAAACAGAGTTAAAGGAAATAGCCGGAGAAGAAGATTAGTTTTTGAAGACTTGGAACAGATGTAGAGACTCACCTCGTTTGCAATGTTTTGAGCAAGCTATCACAGTATGCTTTTGCTGTAGAGATGCTCAATTTACCGGTATCAATGATAATCTTAGAAAAATTTGCGAATATGATCGTGGCACCCAATTTGCGAAATTCAGCCAACAGCAGGGCAAACACCTTTTGCATGACCTATCAAAACATTCATTCAAGAAGTCGTAAACATTGGAGTGCAGCTTATCCATTGCAGAAAAGAACAAAGAAAATGTGCAGAAGACATACCCTGTAAAGTATGTGATGTAGTGCTGGGTCATGAAGCTTCGACTGGGGGCTGCAGCAAGAGATCAACCACATTACTTATTATTTAAGTCAAGAATAATAAGCAAGTAAGAAGTTACGATACTACACCTGCAAAGCCAGCGATACAAATGTTGCAACAATGCATCAGCAAACACGTTCCCAGATGTGACTGCGTCTGCAAGGCACCTCTGGACCAGCTGTTTCAAGACACGTAATGCAGGGGCAGAAAGAACGGCCTCATCCACACCATACTGCTCTGCCCCAGAAGTTGATTCCTGCTCAAACCCTAACAAGGCACCTCCTTCAATTTCATTCACTTGGTTACTTTTCAGAAGGGCATTCACAGCAAGGTTTTGAATCTGCAGAACAAAACAAGGGCTCACTACAGAGGAAAGGTGGGGAAAAAAATTTGTCAGGAAGAAGAGCAGAGATGCTGTAGGAAAAGGATGTCTTCAAACCTTTAACTCCACGGAAACTTTTCTATAAGCTCCAGGGTATACAAGAACAGGTTGATGAACCTACTTCGACAAAGGAATAAAAACACAATGCTAGATCAAAAGTTTGATAAAAGGCTCATGAAAGAATGGAAGCACCAATGTGCTATTGGTAACATGTAGAATGCACAGATGGACACCGCATATTCATAATAAGTGGAGATGAAGGTATCAAAGATCTGAAGCTGACTGTTGAAATATTTGTCAACTACATTGCATGAGTCGAGATTTACCTCATCAGCAAAGCAACTATGTTCCTGTTTGATGCCTCCTAAATCTGGAAATCCATCATTTGAAATCCAAAGCACCTAGAGAAATACTCAGTTAGGTATGCAACAAATTCCATCTTGCTGATGAGTGACATAAAGCCAGCATCTGGATACGTATTACTCTTTAACAGAAAACTGACTGACAAGCTTATATGAAACAACATATACAGAGGGAGTGCTCTCTAAGAAACGTTTGAAGGACTTGACGACCTCCTATAGAGAACAAATGGCCCGCAGCAACACTTTTCTAGCAAGAGTGCAAGACTAAGTTACCCAACCAAGTACCTGTTGTTGATCCCTTAATGCCCTTGAGAAGAAAATGTCTGCAGTGAATAAAATCCAGTCAACTTCAAAGTTCCCTAATGGCACCTGCACCGGCAGCAGCAAATTTGTTAAATCAATAAATTATGATATATGCAGAAAGAAACTACTACCAGAAAAAATAGGTGAGGAACACATTACATGAGCATATCTTGAGAGAGAAATTCTCCCATTCAACCACTGGGATGATGCAGCACAGCGTTGCATTCCCAATTTCGCAGCCACATTTTGCCACCCAAGAACCTATCAGATGCAAAAAGAAATATGAGGTGTAACTTGCATGAACGTAGACACATGATTTGGTTTCACGTATGCATATGAAGCAGAAAACATAGATTAAATTACCTGATACTGACTATCATGGGCGTTGTAAGGTACGTTGACACATGGGAAATTATCAAGAGCTGGTACAGCTGATTTCATCAAATTAGAACTTGGGCATTCTATCACAGCAACGGTAGGTCCATGATATTTATCTCTGTTAAAACAAAATAGTTAGTCCACAGTATAACTCGTTCACTGGAGCAGATTGCTCGCGATATATTCTTCCATATGCATGCTTCCAGGAATTCCGCATAAAGATATCAGCATGGAGTAAAACCTGAGTTCATTAATTTTTCCTTGCAAAAGTATTTCTGCATCCTTGACAATTCCCACGTAGTCCACCTGAAATTAGTTTCCATGAAAACAAGGCATAAAAGAAGTTACAAGACTATTCAAGCATCAAAAGGTCTAGTCAACTTAATAATAACCTAATCTTAATTTGTCAAGAGGGGGATGCACAAAATACGATTATGACACGGAGCCACATATCAATTGTCACCTTGAAAACAATATCATTCCTGGAAGCTGGAGGCTCAATAGATAATTGATGGCAAGCTTCACGAAATTGTCTCTCAATAAAAGCTGGGGATATGTCCTTATTTTGATAAGGGTTTACAACCACAAGGTTTATGACCCGCAGTGCAGGCATATAAAGAACATATGTAGCACGCCCTTCTGAAATGCTGCAACATTTAATAAATAATCAGAATGGATGCGCATAATTAGTTGAACACAAATTATTTATATAGAAGTTTGAAGCCCGCTTTACATTAGAGGAAGCGTTCGGAACCATGGTCTAACTGCATATTTGTTCTTGCCAACAATACATAGAATAACAAGTAACCTTTAGGGTTTCAAGTGATATGCACTGGAGGTAGTTGCAGTAAGTTATTCAAGATCCGAACATGTATATGCTGGAACCAAGGAGTGCTGCAGCAATCCATGGCTTCATCATGGAGGGTTAAGCCAAAAATTACTAGCAGTAGAGTACCTGTTGCCTTTTACAAACTTTAATTTTAAAAAAGAATTCAAGAATAAGTTTTTAATCACCTTTGGTAGAGGTAGAAAAAAGAGATAGACTCTTCCAAATAAGCACACTCCGTGGTATTCTTCATATGCAACTCACTGAGTCTCCAACCATCCTGGGCAGTTCTTTTGGCAGTAGATTTATCCACTTTGCAAACACATCCAAGTTGGACTACAGCATTGAACTCCAGAGGGACATGTGTCTCATATATCCCCTAATTAAATGAAAACATGTCAATGTGAAACGTTTTGACACACAAAATTTCTTTAACCATAAAGCACAAACACATGTTTTGACCTAATTCCAGCTAAAAATAGTAAGAGCCAAAAGTAAAAGGAGAACCTTACCTAACAGTATAGGTCTTAATCAATAATTTAAAGTACTACAGAAGTATGGTGGAATAGTTGCATAGCAAGAGTTTCCAGACAATTAATATTGTAACTCCGTTTACAAAGGAAACAAGAGAACATGTAAACAAATGCACCAGATAACATATATCTTTCCAATGGCTGACAGGCATAATGATAATATAGCCCAAAAACCTTCATGCATGTATGAATTAGAATATGCCCAACCTCAAATTCTGGATCAGCAAGAAGAGCTGCCAGGTTCCTGCTTTCTTTCTTGAATCTCTCTTCATCAACAATAACCTGTTGATGAACCAGGTTTGACAAAAAGGTACGTCACAAACTGATGATAGGAGATTACCAACTAAAAGAAAGAGAAAAAAAGAAAACAGGACAAGCTCAGTATTCAAGTACCTCAACCAAATTATAGCTATGCTTCCCATGTGGAAGAGTCTTGTTAACACGCTTTCCAGGAAACTTCTCAGTCGCTGGTGCTTTGGAGTTGAGATAGAAGACCCTTGGAACAGTTATAGGAATCTTGAGCATGATTCCATCAACGACAACCCAAGCATAAAATTGTCCACTGCGAGAACCAGGTAGCAGTTGTATAATCTGAAACAAAAGAATGAAGATGAATGAATACTCAAATTACCATAACTAACTTTATAAACGCATTATCAAAACTGTCACCTGCCAATGGCATCGTGTTAAAGCTACTTCATGTGTTCTAAAGTATGAACCAACACCAGTCCTGCGATGAGCCTCTTTCTGTTTTCCCAGACCACTTTGCAGTTGGGAAGCACCATTAAGCTGATGCGAGCTTCTTGAATGGCCAACCCTAGGATAGTTCACAAATGCATATATCAAGACACATAATATACCAGGAAAAAATCTGTGCACATGCATACAACTGGTTCATTGAAGATGCCGTTGGAAGGTCCTGGACAAATTAAATGGAAAGGATATTGAAACGGAAATAGGACTCAAGAAAATGGTTTAAATAACAAACCCTTAGGTTAAAATTATAGCGTACCTTGAAACATGAAGCACAAATGAGCCTACATAGAAGCAACAAGGAGAACAACATAACTAATATATACAGGAAAACAAATATGTACCTCTGTTTCTTCCTCTTTTGTATCCCCTCCTTCCACTTCCTCTTCTTTAACTCAAGCCATCCTTGATAGTCAACATTTCTGTCAATATTATCCGGAGGAAGATCATTTTGCATTGCAGGTGCAGACTGGTCATTTGTGTTTTCGTTATGATCAGCATGCAGATGCAAGGAATCTGCTGGGCCGGTCGCCTTGTCAACAGATTTCCCATTTAGAGCTTTATAACAACGAACAATTGGTCTAGGTCCATTCAAAGAACTGCTTTTTTCCTGGAAGTCCTCCAAATCACCCACATTCTTCTCACTGATTTCATTGCTGGTGATGACATCATTGGTATTCTTGCCAAATAACTCACTTTTGTTTATTGGCTTGAAGACATCAACTAATTTCCTTTGACGAAATTTGTCTTCCTTTTCACGAACCTTTCTATGCAGCCAATCAGGATGAACTACCCTAGGTACCGGGTTTGCAACCTGAAACGATTCAGATGATCAGATTAACTCTATAAGGCCAGAAGAGAGGATTGATGATATAGCTTGTAAAGCTGGGAAGCAGTAGAACCTTCTGCATGGCAGCAGGTATCGTAATGATCTTTTGAATTGCTGAACCAAGCCGTTGCTTGTAATATTCCCAGTCAATAATGGATCGAATGCCAACCTCTGATGGAGTCTTGCACCATTTCCGTAGATAAAATTTCATAATTTCTGTGAAAGTCAAATGCAGTCTATCAGCTGAAGAATGAAAAAGTTACTCAAGACTATATTTCTGAAATTTACCAGTATCAGTCTCAAAGATTGCAACAGGAACTGCTCGTTCACTCACTGGCGTACCCTGCTCGTGTAAGCATTTCAAGAGTCTTTTATCAGTAATTCAACAGCAATAGCATTACAATGGAGACTAATCTCTCAGATTTGCAGGACAAAACTAATTCTAGGAAATAGGAAAGCCGAAGTGTTCTAAGGCCCTACTACCAAACTAATTATGCAGCACTCTCCAGTGTATTCAGTTCAGCGACTTCAAGTGAATTAAGTTTAAATTGGAGGAAGGGGTTTATCTCTTGCATTTGTATTTCCTTTTCATATTAAGTCATTCGTGAGTAACTACAAAGATCTCATTGGCTCCTGATGTATTATCTCCAGCCATGGATTCCTAACAGCAATTAGGTGGGCTGGTACACAAAATATAAGTAATTTCCAAAGCATCATTCCTTAAAACAAGATCATACCTTAGGTTCACAAGCAACGATATACTGGCAACGCAACCCTTTATCTTTAACCATTGTACCACCTAGAAAATCTGCAAGACGCTTTGCAGTAGTTACTGCACATGACTTCTGTTCACCATAGTCTGCCAAAGACTTGCTCATTGTACTAGATTCAGAGATGTAATCAAGCAGCTCAGTGTCAGCAATATCCTTCCCTTGATTCTAAGGAAAAATCAGAAGAATAACAATTAAAATAAAAGCCTATGAGAGCTTCCATTGTTTGCTAACTAAAGAGAACACAAACAAGCAGACATAAAGAAACCCAGAAGTAAAGGATCGAGAAAAATGAAGTTTGGATGAAGAGACAAAAATCATAAACTTCTTGCGTACATCAAGTAGATCAAGCCAGCGGTTTGCAACAGCAGCTACAGCAGAATAGCATTCCTCCATTGTTGATCCATCAAGGAACTTGTCAAAAAGCTCGGCCTGCAAATGTGGAAGGCATTAACAGACAGAAAAGAAGGAACTTGTTCTTATTTACGTTGCGATAGGTGAGGTTTTATGCAGTGATTCTAGAATTAAGACCAAATCATCTTGGGGAAATCTTGAACCACATCACAAGGTAAATTCTGACATATTACTTCCACGGCATTATCATATCCGAACCCTGCTGACAAAAAGTTGTTCTTAACAAAGACGAGGAAGCAAATAACTGTATATGACTATTAAGAAGTCAGAAATAACAAACATACAAATCCTTACAAGCTATATGCCTCTTCACAGTTTAAGCGGCTGATAAGCAAATTCATTTTTAGGGTCTTAAATTTGATCAAATTCAAAGATGATTATAAATTTATATCAACTACCAAAAAAATCACCACACATGGGCCGATGGAATAAGTCCACAATTAACTTATAATAATAACAGCTTCAAAATGTCTAGAATTTGTACACTCGGTCTTGAAGAACATTGTGAAATAGAGAAGGTAGAGCAGCAGTAAAGTTTACGAGTGAAATTGTCTAACTTGCAGACCCTACTGAAAATGTATAAATAAATACAGTCATGATAAACCAAAAGCTGGCATCACCAACAGGACAGGATACGAAAGAGAACAAGAAAATTCTTCAGCGCTAATGAGCTTAAAGAGTAAACTGACACGAAATCTATTCACATTATGTTGAAAATATTAATTATAAAGTTCAGTACCTGGAACACTTTGATGAGCTTGAGCTCGCCTCGACGTTTGATTTCAAACCCTTTAAGCTCTGCCAAAGTTCCATCATCATTGAAAACAGCATATCTCTTCTTAATTAGAATTCCTTCTTCTTTTGAAGCAGGAAGAATCATAGCCTGTATGACAGAATAGTCAGCAAAAAAGAAACCAGAACGTAAATGCTGTACCAAAGAAAGAATACATTATTATTCACTACCTTATAGGGGCCATCCACTTCAAATTCAATGGAGCATTCACTGTGAGTGGCATACGTTTTATTGACAGGATCCATGAGTGTCTGCTAAGGAAAGAGAAAGTTAGAATTGCAGGAGTGCGGTGTTTGCTTCAATGAAAAAAGCCAAAAAGATAGTAATGACATATATTTCAGACACAAAACCAAACACCGCGAAAGAAAATGTCAGACAAGATTTTTTAATGTGGCTGAAATATAAGTTTTGAAGTGACCTGGTATTGATCATTTGTATTGTTTCTTGCCACATCAACATTCAGCATAACACAAGGATATGAGATTGTCAGTTTTTTCTTCAAGTCCCTGAAACATAGAACCAGGGGAAATTAGAATGACTAGATGGAACGTTTTTTCACAAAATATAGACCGCAGGTAAATGACAATCCATTCTTGTAGGAAAAGACAGTATAGTTACGGTGCATTACAACACAAGTTACAAAGAATTAACTCATTTGTGTTACTTTTGGGATCAATACACAGCAGAGCGACTTACGTGGTCTTAAAAGTAAAGTTCTCTGGAAATGACCCAGGCAGGCAACACCATATACCGTCAGTGTCTAATTCAAGCGGTTTACCAATCTTATCCACAAGCAAACGAGCATTCTGGATTATCTTTGCTCCTGTATATGTAACTACACCAGCCATTTCCATTGAGTACCATCGTGCACCCCTGATTCCAAAAAAATAAAAAAGCATTTGCCCACATCATACGAAACCATTTCAGGATGCTGACATGTATAGAAATACATATCATTTATCATATGACCAACTCATGCACTCTACCAACTCACTTGCGCATGACATATCCATAGAACGAGTTAAGGATGCACTTATGAGCTAGTTGCAAGGAATCATAAACCACTACCATGTCCTGGAAGAATCCATAAAAAAGCCAATTAGTGTCCAGAACTAGTTGTAGACTTGGAATATTTACAAACTCTTCAAATACCAAAAACTGTGATACCTGTGCCTCCTGGATTTTTATAGAATTCCCACTGGCTTTGGCTTCAGCCAACTTGCCCTTCCAAACCTTATTAAGTCCTTTGTATTCATATCTTCTATCACGAAAGCTGGAACAAGCAGATTGAAGAACATTCAGTAACAGAAGTATCAATGTTGCATTATGCAGCGAACCCAAATGCATGCCATGCAGATGAAAGGTAACGGATACATTACAGATATAACAATTAAAAGATGAAACTCCCGGCAGAAAATGGCAATTATATGAGCTGAAAATGAGCGAACATCATAGCTAAACACCTGCGAACAGTGTCAACATAGAATGGATTCTCCCGCATGCAGATGCCTGCTTCTCGAAGTTCAGTCACAGGTTTGTCAAGTACCCTTTTGTATGCCTAAAGAATATGCAAAAATTAAACCATAAACAATATCTATTCACATATTACCACATAGAACCATAAACAATACTTGATAAAGCAGTATACTCAAATTTGGCAAGCACCTTCTGGCAGTATTTCTTTAGACGCTCCTTGAGTTTTGTTTGTTGCTCTACTTTTGGCAGTGCAATAAAAGATTTTGCTGGCTGTCCATTATTCCCATCAACAAACTCGGATTCAATTTGCTTCTTCAAATGATAGTAGTCACTGAAATGTATTACAGTGAAGGCCACTGGCAATTAGCACTTTTAATGGCTAATTCCTAGGAAACAGACAAATAAGCATGAGAAAATAGTGGTGGATGAATAAAATACCTCCTTTTGGCTGTAAAAGTTTCTCCACGCCAAACCCAGTCAAGCTTCCGAAGACAGGTTTTGTCAGGGCGGTTGAAATCACATGCGGTGCAAATCTCATCTGTAACTATAGATGGAGGCTGCAAGAGAAAAGTGGCTCCATCATGTATTACTATTCTTTTCAAGAAAGGCAATATGAACAATGGGAAATGGGAAGCTACTGCCTAAATAATTGTACTAGAACTAGGTCTAAGATTAAGCGGTAAGGTGCATTTGACGAATTGAAACATTATATGAAATCTCCAGATTTATGAGATACATAACAATATTGAAAGCGTTATTAGTAGAAAGAGAGCATAGTATCTATGGTATGCATCGACAAATTGAATAACTGAAGAACATAACACCACATTTAGATAAAAAGAAGATTAAATGGGCTTGAACAGGTAACAACGCATAGAAAGAACATACAGACCAAATTTAGACAAAAAAAAAAAAGAAGATAAATTAGAAAAGAAATGAACATTGTACATGCTTTTATATATTATTAGTACAGTACCTATGGACTACATTACCGGCCCTCCAAAACACCGTTACAATGGAACCAAAGGTTTAACACTGAATCTCTGACCACATAGTGCAGAAGAAATGTCTTCTTTACTTTTATTGTCCTAGCTGGACACCAGAACAAGTAGCCATACACATGAAACTGCCATCAGTTGATAGAATCAGCATACCTGTAGTCGGTTTGTTAGGATGATGTTTGGGTACATGGCAGCCACATCAAGATGGTAAATGAGAGGGCACTCTTCACGTACGGGTTCGTCTCTCAGGCTCAAAAGCTGCACAAGCCGAAAACAGTAGCAATACTTAAATTGTTCTTTCTCTGTACTGACTTATATCACCAAGACAAGGTCAAGAAAAGCAACCAAAGAATGCTCCTCGATGAGCTTTAACTCTACACTCTAAACTTAAAAGTTAAATAGGATGGGTGGACAAGCAAGGAGGCAGATCAGGTTCCTGATCGAGATCAATTTTCATGCAATGCAGATAAAACGAATCAACTAAGACGGGTGAACCAGCCAAGAAGGGTGATTATCTAAATGATCTAGAATTAGTAAAAAAACAATAAGAACAAGAGCAGAATAGTCACCTTTTGCATGATAGCACTCTTTACTTCGTCGTAGTTTGAGACAGTGTTCAGGTCCATCTTACCCTCTACTCTGATAGCATATTGTAGATCTCTATCAAGGTTTTGGATGAGTTGCTGAAAATGTAGGTGATAAAAAATCAGTCAGATACCAATGGTCACTTTGGAAAGAAGCCTAAATTCTTGCAGATGATCATGCCAATTAACAATAGGTATTGGAAGCTCAAGACAGACGAAAATTCCTACAACAAAAGTCGGAGAGGTGCATGGCAACTCCCATTTCTGAAAGACTAGCTTTCAAGGTCTCTCACGAAAGTTAAAAAGGAATCATTTGAGACAATGCACTTGAAATCTAGATATTAAACATGTTAGCCAATAAGAAGTATTCTGCAGACTACAATGTCTCCAATTATTGCTAGTAGAATGAGGATATTATTAATTGCCAGATGAAAGAAAACAAGGGAAAAGCTACCAGCAAGGAAATGTCTGATGATCATTAGTCTTTGTCTCCAGCAAACGAGGATATTGTTAATAGGCCAATAAAGGAGCAAGGAATACTACTTAATGAAGATGGTACTATAAACCACAACATCAGACCCACAACTTGTTCAACATTAAAAAATGAGTAGCATATACAGCGTATAATAGTTCCTTCTGCTATAATGAGAAGTCCATGCACGACATATAGCAGACATTAGAGACTATAATAAACAATAGCAAGAAGGCACACTTAGACATAGCATTTAGAAGTGCACTGACGAGTTCGAAGAAGAATTTAGCTGAGAAATAATTCACTGATCATATAAATGAATGGACTCTGATAATGTTGCATATATACCAGAGCAAAAGCTCACCTCATATGCAGATGGATCAAGTTTGAAACTGGTAGGGATATCCGACCTGAAAACACCGCTTTCAAGGCATTCAACGTGACCGCCTATGTAGGTCTCACTCTCGAGAAGGTGATTCTTATAGAACTTTTCTGGATCAGATTGGTGCTTGTTAGGGCAAATAACATTTGCCATGAATGCCTGTATGATGTAAAGTAGTGAATAAAAATGGAGAGGAAAAAAACTTTGAAGAAGAATGGGGTGTCGTCAATGGACACAAGTGTATGGCGAGACTACCTGCACCATAAGAAGCATTTCACAAAGAGTGCCACTACCTTTACGCAAAACCTCATCAGGTGACATAGGAATTATAGTTGCTAGAGAGAAAATGAATGGATGCACGTAGGTCATGTACAAATAGTACGTTGAAACGGCATCAGAAACTGAATATGAGGCCATCATCTGTTAAACCATTTTTAAAAAACCAACAAAGTAATTGTAAGCCTTTTGCAGAGGTTGTAATAGCTTCAGAATTTAATGGAGAAGCCATGATAAAAAGGTAAAATTTGACAAATTCAACTGTCAAGATATTTGTACCTGAGGTTTTTCTTTTGCAAAGCGCACCATATCTTCAGGATTGACCTCCAGTGGATCATAACCTAACTTTGCTTTTGTAACAGCCTAATTATGACAAAGAGAAGAAGCATGTACTTTACATCTTATTCCTTAACATTATTTATTGGTTCATAAAAAGCTTTTGGTAATTGCACTTCAAAAATATCAAGCTATTTAGGGAAATGAAGTTGAAACTTGAAAGTTACATAATTATTATAGCCAAATTATGATGAACTCTATTTGAGTAAAGCAAATCACTAAGTCTGGCACAAAAGTGCATCAACTTGTCTAGACTTGAATTGTACAATCAGTTCCGATGTTGTCTTGAGTTGTGACTTCTTAAACATCACAATGGCAAGAAGGAAACATATTGGATGGAGCATACAAACCATTCTCATAGAATAAAAGAGCATGCTCAGCGACAGGTAATCCAGAAAATACCGGTTATAATAACGAAGGAATGAGAACCACAGAGAAGGAACAAACCTTAAGGCCCTGGCTACCCTGAGGCAGATAACTATCACGCTTGACCCAAGCAAAACAGTCCAAATGACAAGCAAATTTAGCACGGCATTCCCCTTGATTCTTGTCACACGAGAATCCAACTTCCTGAATGCTCAAAGGTAGATAAGAAAACCAAGGAGGCACTATGTCAAACACATAACGCACTGAAGAACTACATGCAGAGTCTTCATAGTGAGAGACAAAGCAACTAGATCATGGGAACTGTCAACTCCAAACTCAAGATGTCAATGTATAGAATTGAAAACAAAATGAACGTGCTAAGTGCAGCTCCTGGCCTTGAGAGGTTCGGTATTTTTAATACTTGCAGTATATAATATAATCAGATCAATTAGCTCTACCATTAACAGAACACCATATTTCAATCTCGAGGATAAATTGTATGATTTTAAAAAACATTTGCATCACATGATAACAATAGTCATGATCCTGCCAAGGAACATTTCTTCATCTATGAACTATCTAGCATTCTTTGCATCCAGGCGACCTAATCAAGTAGTAACATGAGGAAGCTATATAATAAAGTTATAGGAGCTTATAAGCGAATGCAGCAGTATACATACATCGCTCATCTTGAATCCATAATGAGCTGCTCTGCTTTCAAGGAATGGCCAGTCAAAGAAGTCACCATTGTATGTAACATATATACCAGGTTTGACCTCTCGCATGTGAGCAAACCAGAGTCTTAGAAGTTCTAACTGCAGGTAGCATAATATCATATCACAGATATCAAGATTAACAAAAAGGGTGTCTCAAAAGTCCAACTGCTTCGTTACCTCATTTTGAACATTTGTCACTTTGAAATAACCTTCAAATTCTGGCTTTGGAGTATACTCTATATCCTCAATATCTTCCCCCACACACTAAAGGTAGATGCATGAAGAAAAAAACGTGTAAGAGAGCAAGTGAAGGAGCTGAGATTTATCTAAAGTAAAAAATGGAAGAAAAAGGTCATAGGAGGACTAGGAAAACTTCTACGAATTGACAGGGAAAAGAGAGACCACACAAGTATAACCAAATACCCCTATCTGAAGTGTATTGTTCTAAAATACATAAGGCTTAACATATTTTCTGTTTAACTATGAAAAGTTAGCATGCAGCATAACATCAAACAAGGAAAATTCAGGGGGATAAAAGAAAAGAAGAGCAAAACATCTTGCCTCGTATGAAAGAAATAAGCGGGTTACAGCCAACAGGTAAATGATACATGTTGTGATATCGAAAATCACAAGGCAACAAACCAGATTACATTTTCTCAACTATTGATCAAGAAACTCATCCTAACTTGGAGCTTTACAAACCAACCAACTGTACTCTTTTGAAATAAGCATGATGCAAAGTTCATAGATTGGGTATTGCATATACCTGAAAATGAAGACCTCTTTTCCGCATTGATGATACTACCAATTTAACTATCATAATTCTTAGTTCTGTGCCTAAAACAGAAAGGGAAAAACCTAGAAGATAGCCAAATATAGACAAAGAGCACCATTATGCACATACCTCTCTGTTAATTATCAAGTATCCTTGTCCGTCGATCATGTATGATATCATCATAACTGAATCATACTCTGCATCCGGAAATTTTAATGGTAACTTGGTGGTTTCAATATCAAAGGCGCAAACATGAACCTCAGCTCGTTGCAGAAGATCACTTCTCTTCTCAAGCATAACACCATTGCTGGATACGCTTACATCATACCATTGACCACTTCGAATATCTGAGCAAGACAAAAAGAACAACCTTGTCAAGGAAGAAGTAAACATGATTGCAGTGAAATAAGATAAATATATGACATTCCAACAGAAGAGTTATTATCTAATTACCCTCATCAATGGCAAAGCGGACGTGGTAAGGAACATCATACTCCCTAAGATCAATAATACAATCTATAAAATCTTGATGCCGTTGTTCTCTGTTAGACAAACAGCAGGAAAACATGATATTAGAACAAATCAACAATCCTATAGCTTAACAAGCCTCAGATCCGACTAAAGCATTTATGAAAATTCACGCTTAGCTAATAACTCCCAAATTACCTTACACTTACATCAGATGCGAAAAACAGCTTATGTGCTGCTTAATAAGATATCTAAGAAATATTCTTAGAAATATTTTGCATCTTGTCCATGTTCCATATAGTTTGGTATGAAAACTCGGTGGTTAACTCATTATTTATCTATTAAAACAAAGGTCCTTGCTGGGGATATATTTAATTTAGTTTGAAAAAAATGATAAGAAGAAAACTGATGCCTCAATTTTAAGCATGATACTTGTCAATACTACCACGAAATATCTGATTAGGATGCACATAGAACGCAAGATAGAACCAGTAAGGCAGACCTTTTCCCTGCCAATATCGACTCATATGCTTCTGCGGCATCAAACTTTTCCCGGTTCCTTTCAACAACTTGCAGTAAGTCTCTCTTTACATCCATCAGTTGTTGAACAGTAGAAAATGAAATCTTTAAGTATGATTTCCGCAAGCCAGATAAGTGGTTTTTCTGTCAACAACCACATAAAGAAATGAATACACAAGCATTCGTAAATGCAAGCAGGAAGTTAAACTAATGATCTGTAGGATTGCACAAAGATACCACTGAAGGCTATGAAACATGCTTTCAGCACATAATATGCACAGAGAGAGCATCCTAAACTACAAGGATTAGCTAAGAACCATCTGCCAATTTAGAGTGCTTAGACCGTTCCATAAAATGGAAACTAATTTCCGCAGTGGTAAGAGAAAAAAACATTCTTCTGATTGCCATCACAGAGAAATTATTTGAATGCCTTAAGCAGAAACCCAAATCTCATTCAAAAACAAAAAGTAACAAGAGATATCTACCTGTCCTATCCAAAGCAATTCTAATTCAACAAACTGGCGTAGCAATGAGTAAGAGCACAAAAGACCCAGGATGGTGACGTTCGACCGTTCAAGCATTCCAAACAAATATAAGCGACTTCTAAAGTTCATAAAAGGGAGATTATAAAGTGACTAACAAGATCCAGGTCCTCTTTCTCCATGATCTCGATATCTGCAATTTGACTTTCATAGCGTCTTCGCAAGTAGGCCTCTACATCCATGTCCATATTTCCCTGTAGAATTAACACCCGCGAAGTCAGAAATGACACTTCAATGGCAGCGCGTAACTTAACCTTGAGCCAAAAGCATTCAAAGAACAAGCACCTTTGTGGCTGCATAGAAATAGGGACGGAACTTTTTCTTCGCCTTGAAAGAGGAACCATCCTGCAATAGTTGCAGCAGACGGTAAACAGCCGTTTCAAACAATTGCCGTAACCTTACTCGCCCACAAAACAGCTACTATGCGAATTACAAGTCTAATCCAGTACTTCACCTGAGTCACGAAGTAAAGATCGACACAGCTATATGATTTCCCTGTCTCCTGATCCTCTACTGATGACTGCAACTCAAAGCACAAGAACGAGAAGCAAAAGCAAAACGTTAATTCTCAACTCCCGGGCAACAGACTACTGGCGAATTCAGGAGGAAGCCTTCCATTTCATCCAAGGGATCAACTGTAAGCACACGAATCGGAGGCGGAACAGGACTTACGGCAGCAAAAGTGAGTAACCATCCGAGGCGCTTGTCGCCCTCGGTGAAGAGATCGAACCCTAGCTTCGCCTCGAGCTCTTCCTCGGCGGTGCGGAGTAGCTTCTGCTTCTTCTGCGTCCGGCCGTAGTCCCAGCCGTCCCGCCGCCGGTTCTCACCGTTCATTGCTCCGGCCGTTTACTTGAGAGAAGAGGAAAGCGGAGGAGCGGCCGCCTGAGTTGTTAAAAGCTGCAGAATGAATTCCGCTAAGATCTGATAGCTCCCTCGTTTAGCAGTTTAGTGATATGCCGCGCGGTAAGACGAGGCGCATTTTCCCGCCCAAATGAGTTCCTGGCGTCGTAAATGACGAAAATGGCCCTACAGGTTGCTAGGTGACTCTGGCCCTATTAGGTATAGTCCAAGAAGCCCAATAAGCTAATGGGTCAGTCTATCAGACAACTTAAATTCCCATCAGCCCAATATCAGGCCCAAAGAGCTTATGGCTGGGAATTCAGGATTAGCGTAATGAACGGTCAGGATCTGATCATGTGCAACAGAGAGCGGAAACACAAAACCCTACGTATATATAAATCATACGGCCTTCCTTTTCTACCCAGAAACCCTAGAATTTTCGTTCATCTGCGCAAAAGAGGAAAGCACCTCCATTTCATCAGCCGCTTCAAGCCAAATCTAAGTACGAAGCCGTTTGTTTATCTCCGGTCGCGTCTCCTGATCTTCGGCTTCTCAATTTGATCTGACATCTAATTTTTATGTCGTTTCAGGAGAGAAAATGAAGGTTGTGGCAGCTTACCTTCTCGCCGTTTTGGGAGGCAACTCCTCCCCCACCGCCGAGGACTTGAAGAAGATCCTTGGATGCGGTAAGAAATTCCATTTCCTTGTTCATTTTGATAGAGGGTTTCGATTTGTCTGGCGTCCAGCTCGTTAGTTGTAAGCATGAATGAACCCATGTTAGCCTTGTTATGTGTTTTACCCTGGTTAAGCTTTTATGTGGTATCCTTACAGATCGTAGTGTGAAATGGGCATTTTCGATAGAATGAGAATGATGCTCTCTCTTTTATAATCGACCCATTTTGTGCTTCGGTATCGTAGTACAGAATGTAGTTTTCCCTTTGGCCTTCTCTGTGTTGCCAGACTAGTACATGTGCTGACTTTGTGTTCTCTGTGTTGTGAATTCGTTTATTGCAGTTGGCGCTGATGCTGATGAGGATAGGATTGAGTTGCTCTTGTCTCAAGTGAAAGGGAAGGACACCACTGAACTGATCGCAGCTGGTATGGAGAAGCTTGCCTCAGTTCCATCAGGTGGTGGCGGCGGTGGTGTTGCAATTGCTGCCTCAGCTGGCCCTGCTGCTGGAGGTGCTGCCCCAGCTGCCGAGTCCAAGAAGGAGGAGAAAGTGGAAGAGAAGGAAGAGTCTGATGATGTAAAGTTTCCACTTCCCATTCTTCCTTGTGATTTGATGGTTGAATCTAGCTTATTTGTTGTCTCTCTGTTCATGAAATGTGCTGATCTGTTTCTGTGTTTTATTGCTTATGCAGGACATGGGTTTCAGCTTGTTCGACTAAATCGCTCCGCCTTCTGGTTGTTGTTGTCCCGTGAAGACTGTACTACTTTTGTTTTACTTAGTGTTTTAGCTGAGCTTTACAAGTCTTCTATTATGTACTTGGATATGTAATGGATGCGTCTGAGGCGCATCCTAGTTTTGGATTTATGAATGAAGATGTTATGAAATTGAAGCTTTGGTTTTGATACTTAATTATTCTCCTTGTTGAGTGCTCCTTATCCTGCTTTCTCCTTGTGGTTTGTGCTTCTGAGATGTAGTTCAGACAATAGTTTCGGTCTCAAACTGTCAGGTATCCTATTTGGTCATCAAATAGCACAGCAGTAGTGCTGCAATTTGTTCATCCCATAAAATCCCGCTAGGGTGATGACTTTGTTTCGCTTTAAGATTTGGTTCACATTCTGCCCTGGCTCTGGTCCTGTACGGATCATCATCATGGTTTACAGAATGCAACTATAGAAGTCTATTCCTATCAATTTCTCTCCAGATTGCAACAAAATTCGCAGCACTCTTTCCTACACTACGATAGGCAATTGAAAGTCTAATGATATTAATATTCCTCAGGTCCGAACAGAGCAAACACGAACTTTCAAGCGAAAAACAGAGGACCGCAGCAACAATGAAGAAGATGATGCACATCGCAGTTTCCAGTGAGAGCTCCATTAGTTCACTCCTGCAGACGACGATGAAGGGGCTGCCGGAACGTTTTGGTCGAGGATGATCATCTCCATCTGAACAATCAGCCAGTCATGCAATTCAGTAATCCATCAGCGTGAATCTTCAGTTGATGTGTACATACAAATTCTAGGTAGGGCCAGGGTTATGAAGTTCATCACTTTTTTACATACCCTGCTGATTTCGTTGAGGGCGTCCCTCAGAGTTTGGTACTCGCCCTTCACCTTCTTCAAGCATTCCAAGCACCTCAGCTTGTCGGAGCCATCGCAAGCACAGCGCAACTCGAGGCAAGCAGCCGCCACTCTTCCACCACCCATGCTGCCGCCACCAACGTGAATGACAAAAATCAATCCGAGTTGCATCGAATCGTAACGTAATTTACGATCTGAGATATGAATACCTGGAAGAGCTGCCTTTGAGCTGGAAAAGATCCCTGACTGCATCGCCGTAGTAAGGAATAGGCTGATTGCTGAGCAGTATTAACCACAACAAACCAATGCAATGAAAAACTTAAGAAAAAAAAGGACCACAACGGTAATTAAAATGGTGATATGTGGTATTACATTTCCGACTCCAATCGGGCGACAACAGTTGCAGAGTGAGCCAAAAAGGTGTCAATGATCTCCACCAGAAACCTCGGGTTCTCCGGCGACCGGAGCCCCGCCACGGTGTCGAAATTCACGTCCAGCGTCTCCTACAAAGCATAATGTTAAGGTTTGCCTCCTATGGTGCTTTTTATTAAAAGAAAATTAGCTAGTGTGTATGTTCTGCCTCGTCTTTCATTCTCTGGATGAACTCCGCCTGCTGTTGTGAAACAACGTCCTTCTCCTCAGCTTGCTCTGCCGCCATTTTTATCAGCTTGGTTTGCGAGAATAGATGAAGGAAATGGGTAGTTTTTGGCAGAGTAAAAAAAACAGAGGGAGTGTAGGACTTTGCTTCTCCTGCATGGCAGTTACTTGAAGGCTGGCGGTTACATTTTAACAAATGTCCTTCATGGCAAAGAATAGGTCAGCCAGCAGAAGCAGCAGTCACGTTTATGAACACACAACCCACATCCCAAAACCCGCTCTTACCAGTATTTTGCTAAAATCGCGGTTTAACTGTGTCTCAACCGTTTCATATCATAGTAAGACCACCGACGCGATACGATTTTGCAAACATCGCAAAATAGACAATAATCGTCCCGAATTGAACCTAGTAGCCACATCAAGTTCATGGTTTATTTATTATTGGAAATTGATATCCATATGAAAATTGCAAAACCTCAAACATAAAAGGAAACTGAAATAAATCCCCAAAGCAAATCAAAGCAACATTCTGCAACACAGACAATGCCGGCCGGCCGGAAGTACGACGGACGACGGAGCGAGCTAATCATTCCTCCGCCTTTGCCTTTGCATTCGCTGGCGCCATTCTCTCCGACTAATGTGGTGCTCCGCCAGCTCTTCTTCCATCTGCATAGATATAATAATTTTCCATAATTAATTCATTAATTCTGCCTTGTACCAAATTACCAACCGATAATTCAAAAACAACATATAATAAATAAAATATCTTAAAATTAATAAATTAGTCTTACCGCAGCAATTTGGGCCAAGGCTGCTACAAGAAGAGTGTATTCGTCCTTCACCACCGACAGTAAGGCAAGGCACCTACAAATCAAATCAAAACCCCCAAACGACAAAATTCAATCGAGAAAAATTAAAAACTCAACTTAATATTATTTACTCAGACTTATAAAAAAGCGTGGGTTTTTGTGTATCATGCTGGTACGACCAATACATTCTCATAACTATCGAATTTACTCTTTCGTCGTTTCTCATTCGTCGAATAAAGTACACTACACGAATAATTTGGCGATCAAAGTCCTTCAATATACCAGAGAGAAGAGGTATAGGTGCTTACAAGGGGTGGTCGCGACTTTCAAGAATGCGCGCCAATTGCAAGAATCTAGGAATCACTCTGCCCCCGCCGACGCTGGATATAGTCAAGAAGAGGAAATCATATATGCCGGATTTAATTAGTGTTAAAAAACTACTCGTTAGTAAAAACGTGTGATGCTAAATAATATGATATTAAGATTTAGGTATGTATAACAGTGATTTGTGGGAAACACAAAGTAATTTTATCTAGAGTTTGATGGAGGTTAGTAGCACACTATATCACCAATCAGATTGACGACTAATAGATAATTAACCGCATGACCAGTTCGGCAAAACCACATTGTCAATTAAGTAGACCACTCATGTTTCATTGAAATATCGATGTTTATTTTTTTAAGGGTTTTTGACAAGTCTCAACAAATAATTATGGTGAAGACATTATATTAAAGACTCCAAAAATCGAAAGGATGAGCATAATAATAGTCATACTCACAAATATAAAATTAAGACACGAAATTTGAGTTGATAGCTGATACAAATCAATAATGTGCCCAAAAGAATTACTCATTCATAGCTTTACATCGACTATCTATCAAGGAACAACATCCCTTCTGAAATCTTAAATCTTATAGACCCTAAATCCTCCGCCCTAAACACCAAATTCCTAAATCATCAATCTTGATATCCAAAATCCTAGTAGTTGAACATATCTAAAATATGGAACCACCTGAATCCTAAAGCACAACCCCTAAATCATAACACTTTAACCCCTAAAAACTTGTACCCTAAAGCTTAAATGGTTAAACCCTAGAAGAACCCTCTAACTTTTAAACCATGAATCCTCTAAACCCCTCCCCTAGACCTGAAAATATCATTTATGAACAAAAAAAAAACTTAAACTTGTATTAAACCTAATCATTTAGGATGCTGGAAAATATCGAACACTTTCAGACATGACTGAAATAGCGTGAATCGATTGATTTCATTGATCAATTTTTCATAATTTTTTTAGAATCTGAGGGTTATGTATACCTATTAGAACTAGTGTATCCTCAAATTAATCTCGTAGATGATAAGTTGCTAGTCTTAAATAAATCAGTTTCGGCCTTTATTTTAAATACATGCTTTTTCACAATCATCGTAATTATCGTAATGATTTTCACTTTTGGAGTATTCAATGTATTTTCCCGAGTTATCGGTCAAAATTTTTAAACAAAACTCTGCAAAAGCAATCATGAATACATTTTCAGAAGGACAAGTGGTCAACATAATTGACTTTATGGCTGACTTGATTGATAATGCGACTGACCTAATTAATCTTTTATTGGACTTAAGTTGTCAAACGTGGTCGACCTGAGCAAATTTATATTCTACCGAAAACCACACAGAACTCCAAATAAAATCTTTTTGGATTTTACTACAAATCATGATAGCAAAGTCCTAAACAAATTGGTCTGATAAGTAAAAGAATGAACGAAACCAATAACTCAGAGGACGCTTACTTAACACAGTCGTCAGTGATGCGCTGGAGAGTGGCCCGACTGGCATCAAAATCAAAATCCACCCTGCGTTTGTTTAACAATAGAAAAATCAATTTCAAAATAAAGAAAAAAAGATCACACCGTTGGCGTGTTGATGGCAATTAATGAAAATATATCGAGATGAAAAGATCGGGGAAAAGCGGAAATTCTAAAAATTGAAAGGGAAGAAGTTACAATTGACGCTCGAGTTGACCAAACATGGGAGGAGAGGTGGTGAGGAAGCCTTGGATACGATGCAACATAGCGCATGGATTATTCGCATCGTCCTGACGCCTCAGTGTGTCAAAATAATTTCCCAGTATATCCTGCATCCATTTATCCTCGTTCAAATTTTCATCATTAAAAGAAAACCCTAGGATTCAACAATACAAGAAAACCCCCTTTTTTACAACTAACCAAGCTCCAATGCAAGACACAACCCTAATTGAAACAATTCAACAATAATCAACAAGATGGAAGAAACTAACATCATTCCACCACATCACATACAACAAGGAAACACGATATTTATGAAATAATAAAGCGGTAATACGATATACAAAAGAATAATTAAACAAAATCACGAAATAATATAGTTTGTATCATATTATTGCGAGGACCTGTTGGTGAGCATCAACAATGAAATTTTCCAACCGGAGCCTGATATTTATTCCCACCATTTTTTTTTCTCTATTGATTTTTGTCTGTCCTTTCCAGTTTTTATAAGGGGGGAAGTTCTTCTCTCTCTTTTACATGTTTGGTAGATATATAAATGATATCAAATCTAATTTTTAATGCTCCTTTTTAAAAACTAATTCATCTCATTAATGCATTATGCATACAACAACATTGATAAACTTGCCATTTCAACTCTTAACAAAAAAAAAAAAATAGTTTGTCTGGATATTATTTGGTTACCAATATTATGGATTTGTGATTGTTGAAATATATGCATTTCTAAAACATTATTTTTTATTTGAAGGCTCACTATAGTAGTAAAGGTGGATCTAGAAAATTAATATATGGGTGTCTCCTTTGAAAATTAAATTAAATAAGAAAATATCTTGACTAGTACAAGATATAATAAAAATCCTCTTAATCCACATAAAACAAACTCATCATTCTTAACACAATAAAAATAATTCTCTTGTTATTTTATATGTTGGGATATCTCGACCTATGTCCCAACTATATATTGTTTGGCCCATCATCTCTTAATTAATCACTGCAAGACTTAGGGGTGATAATCGGTTCGGTTGCGGTTAAACCGAACCGACGGGTCGGTTAGCCGACACCTATTAGAGGTCAAAACAGGCAACCGCAACCGCAACCGATTGTCCAATCGGTTAGCCGAAACCGCTAACAGTCGGTGTCGGTTTGGTTGGTCGGTTGACTATCAACCGGAAATTAATTGAAAAATAAAAATAAAAATTCCAAAAAAATATAAAAGATTAATTCCAACCCTCTAGCATTCTCGATCCTTCTTCTCCCCATCTCATTCTCTGTTACCCTATCCTCTCTCCAAAAGAAAACCCCTCTCTCTAACCTCTCCAAAAGAAAACGACTTCTGTTGGAGGACAGCGGCGAGCCGGCGACGCGAAGGCTAGGAGCGGCGGGAGGGCGGCGATGCGACGCGACGAAGGCTGGGAGCGGCGGGATGGCGGCGATGCGACGCGACGAAGGCTGGGAGCGGCGAGAGGGCGGCGATGGACGCGACGAAGGCTGGGAGCGAGAGGATTGAGGAAGGCGCTGCGACGGCCGATGGCCGACGAGCTCGACGGGGACGAGGCTACTGGCGGCGGCCGGCGAGGGGAGGGGCTAGGGTTCAGAAATGGGGAGGGGCGGCGGGTGTGAGAGGGGACTGGGGAGACTCTCGATTTTGCGATTTAGGATTTTAGGTTTAGCCGTTTAGGGCAGGGGAGGAGGGAAGGAGAGGCTGTCTGTCTGCGTGCGTCGGTTTTCTCGGTTTTGTTCGGTTAATTTGTGCGGTTGCGGTTTTTAACCGCTAACCGCGATAATTGCCCACTGGCCAGAAACGTCCAACCGCAACCGCAAACCGCAATAAACCGACGATTTCGGTTCGGTTTCGGTGGTAACCGACAAACCGGAGACCGATTAACAGCCCTAGCAAGACTAGTATAAATACCAAGGTACCACATCCCACCTCATTACAATTCCTACTTGACATTAATATTTTCCACGAGTATAAAATCTAAATAATCAAAGGGGAATAATTAACAGATAAATGGTCATTTTGGTACAAAATACAAAATTAGGTAATATTGCCTCATTTTTTTACAAAATCATAATATTGTCTAGTATTTTTTTCTACAAAATATAATCATATATTGATTCACAAAAAAGATAGTTACATCCTGCAGTTCAGCTAGGCCTGGGAATCAAAAGAACGACTCATAGTCGGAGACAATGAAAGAGCCTTTCTAACCACCAAATGAACTACCATATTGCAACACCGGCCTACAAATCACACACTAAACCCAGATCGAGAAGCAAAACAATACACTATTTCTTCAAGAATAGCCCCCATCCGATTATCACCAGTCTGCCCACGGTTAATCTTGTCAATGATTACTTTGGCATCTCCCTCAAAACTAACTTCCGTGAAGCCATGATCTAGACACCAGCAAACAGCCTCTCGGAGGACCAGCAATTCGACCACCATAGGGTCCGCAATACACGAAAACTTGACCCCATTAGCCAACAGGATTTCCCTTGCTGGGGTCATAAACACCATCCCTCCTGCCGAGTGAGACTCACTCCGGGTAACCCCATCCCACATGCACACCACCAAGTTAGTCCCCCCAGGACTCAAGTGATGTGTCGTAGGAGTGGAGGGCAGAAGAACGTGGTCCATCGACAAACTTACCCATTCCTCAAACTGTTGGGGAAATTATCGCATCAGAGCCGGGATCTCAAACTGCTTTCCCTCAAATACAACCCAGTTACGAGATTGCTAGATCCTCCTAAGAACAGCTACAACAGTCATGAACATTGTAGGTTGGTTATAAGAGAAATCAACTTTTTTAGAAAAAGCGGGAAAGTTTGACGAGGCAACCCTTGTCCAAGATACTCTAGCCCTGAATGGTCCCAAAGGGCGCGGGCCACTGGACAATAAAGAAATAAATGTTCCATTGTTTCTTGCTCTGTCCAACAAACCGGACATATAGAGAACACTGGGACACCCTTCTCAATTAGGGCTTCCATAGTTGGTAGGATCCGGTCATAGATTTTCCAAACAAAAACCTTCAATTTAGTTGGAATATTGGCTTTTCCATAAACGAATCCAGCTAGCCCTTTCCATCCAACTAGCCATAGACCTCCGCCGATTTTTCCGCTTATCCAATAGGACTGCGAGATGGTAGGCCGATTTAATAGTGAATACCCCATCAGCCGTGTCGTGCCAAATTAGTCTATCCTCCACATTTTGATGTGGGAGGGGAATAGCTTTTATGGCCCGACAGGTTGGCGGATCAAGCCACTGGCTAAGTTTGTTATCACACCATCGCACTTCCCCCGAATCAAAGAACCTCCGCCACCAGAGGATCACCCCCCTCAGGTAACACCCGGGGATTGTACACATGGGCAAATGGATGTAGACCAGGAACCCAGCTGGAATATAGTAAAGAAGCCGTCTGACATTACCAATCTGCCATCGTAACCCCATTTCTAAAAGCCGCCTGCCATAGAGGATACTCTGTCAACCCCAAGGTGGGAGAGAGCGTGCCGTAGCAGTGAGGAAGGTTCCAGTAGGAAAATACTTTCCTTTATAGACCTGGGCTAGGAGGGAGTGAGGCTCATTTAGGATACGCCAACCAATTTTGGCTAAGAGAGCCTGATTAAAGTGCTCAAATCGATGAAAGCCCATCCCCCGTCATGCTTACTTATGCACATATTGCGCCAGGACATGCACCGTATTCTTTCATGATCCTCCTCAACACCCCACCAGAATCGGGCCACATGTTTATCCTGGAGCCGACACAGCGATAGAGGTAACTTGAAACATGACATTGCATGCATCGGCAAGGCTAAAGCAACAGATTTGATCAAGGTCTCCTTAGCTGCCCAAGATAAAAGTCTTCTGTTTCCATCCCTATAGTCGTTCCAACAACTTCTCTTCTAATAGCGGAATGTAGTTATCGTATATCAGGATATTAGCGTAGGTAATCCTAGATATTTATCATGGACCCCTATTGCCCCAACCCCCTCTAAGAAATAAATAAGAATCATCTGCAAAGAATAAATGCGAGATTTGCGGAGCTCGAGGAGCCACTTTGACCCCTTCAAGTTTGCGTTTTGAGATGGCCTTTTTAGAAGAGCTGTAAATCCCTCCGTGTAGAGCATAAACAACAGAGGAGGTAGAGGATCTCCCTGCCGAAGTCCCCTGGAAGGCGTAAAGTAACCCAAAGGGGTGCCATTCATTAGAACAGAAAACGAAGTTGATTTCATGCATTTATGGATCCAGCCTCTCCAGGTGGAGTTAAAACCCATCTTGTCCAAAACAGCAAGGAGATATGGTCATTCGACTCTATCATAGGCCTTTTTCATGTCAACCTTTAGAGCCATGTACCCTTTTTTACTTTGCTTCTTGATTTTCAGATAATGCATTAACTCATGTCGCAGGAGGATATTCTCAACTATTTGGCGTTCAAAGATAAAAGCATTTTGACCTTCTGAGACTATTTGTGGCAAGAGACAAGCCAGCCGTTCAGCCACGAGTTTAGTTATAATTTTGTATACAAACTAGCATAAGCTTATTGGACGTAGCTGTATCATGGTTTCCACATGGTCCACTTTGGGAATCAATGTCAGCCAAGTATGATTGAAACTACGGAGCATCTTACTCGTTGTAAAAAACAAGCAGACAACATCAACTACCGAGTTTCCAACAATACTCCAGAAGGCTTTGAAGAATTTCCCAGTGAACCCATTAAAACCTGGTGCCTGTTTTGAGCCCATAGAGAAAACCGTTTTCCTCACTTCACTAGGAAGGACTACAGCCGTAAGACTGGCATTCATTCCTGGTGTAATACTCTGGGCTATGGGAAGATCAGCCACCCGATCAACCATGTTCCACACGTGGTTCTCCAAAGTGAAAAGATTCTGATAAAAACTATTGGCAATATCTACCTTCCCAGTCTTCTTAGTGATCCACTCACCACTATCACTACGAAGGCCTGCCACGAAATTACATTTTCTCCTCACTCGCGTGACCGTATGGAAGTAAGAAGTATTTTTATCCCCTTTCTTTAACCATCGGACTCTAGATTTCTGCTGCCAATAAATTTACTCAGCTTCCCATTGCCGATTCAACTCCATTTCCAAGAGTCGGATCTCATCCCAGTCAATAGGGTAGACTGATTTTATCCATTCGATTTCAGCCTGAAGAGTTTTAATATTGCGCAGAGAACTCGTAATACCGCCCTACTCCATTCATATAGCAAATTACGTAATTTCTTAAGACGTTCCCAAAGTTGGAACATGGGAGTACATGGTATGTCCTCCTCCCAGACATATTTCACCATAGCCTTGACCTCGGGATTATCGGCCCAACCAGCATCAGATATGAACAGGGGACGACTATTTTGGGTATAAGGTTTGTCAGAGAGGAGGAGAACTCTATGATCTGACCCTTGGTCCGTGAAATGTTTAACCAGGGTTTCAGGGTAGCGATCAATCCACTTTTGGGAGCACAAGGCTCTGTCCAGCCTCTCACGAATACTACTAACCCACTAGATGCATCAATCGCATCCACAAATAAACAATGAGAAAGATCAAAAGCTAAGCCGTGCATGTGACGGGAGACTACCTCCGACTCGATCGAGTCGGTCTCTCGCTCACTAATTTTTATTGATTTGCCATTTATAATTTCTTCTAATTAATTAATATATTTCATATATGTTAGACTAAACATATAATATATTATATATATGACTACGTGCTTAATTGGTTTGATTGGTTAGTAGTGTGTGAAATCAAACTAAATCGCTTAAATCAAACAGACTATAAAATTTAACCAACCTAAACCAAATTATCCAAATATTAAAGGTTACAATGGTTACCAGTAATCACTCAGTTTGAACACCCTTAGTGTTAGCACTCTACTAACACTAATTATAAGGATACTATAGTAACTACCCTTATAACGGATTTTTCCTCACTCTCAAGGATTTGGTTTTCATTTTCAAATTATAGTTTGACACCTAAAATTTTTAAAAATTGTAAATATGTACAAGTTTATGAGGTTTCTTGTCTACTTTCAGAAACTTTTGGTATGCTTTATAAGGTTCTGGTATGCTTTCAGGAACTTGTGTTCTACTTTATGAGATTTTTTGTATGTTTTATTAGGTTTCTGATATGCTTGAAGAAATTCGTGGTGTGTTTAATAAACTAGTGGTATGCTCTAATAAAATTTTGATATGTGCTTTATGAGGATTCTTATATATATGTGCTTCAGAGAACTTGTGGTGCTTTAAGAAACTTTCGGTATGTTTTCGGAAACTTGTGGTCCGCTTTAATAAACTTGTAATATGTTTTATGAGGTTTCCGGCGTGCTTCAGGGAACTTGTAGTATGCTTTAAGAAAATTGTGATATGCTTCAGTAAAAAATGGTGGTACGCTTTATGAGGTTTTTTGAATGCTTTAGAGAACTTGTGGCATGCTTTACGAGATTTCTAGTATGCTTCATAGAACTTGTGGTTTATGAGGTTTCTGGTATGCCGATATCAAACAAATTTTTACCAAGTGTGATGGGTACTAATCGGCTAACCACACACGTTTTATTCTTACTATTCGCGTTATGCTTAACACACTACAAAAAAAGTTGGCTATAACGACCGGAAAAACTGACGAGAGGATCAAATCCCATCGTTAGAGGCATAAAATTTGTATGGGTCATCTTTTACTGAGGGTCACATTTTCCCCCTCGTCAAAGATGTCAATCTACCCTCGTTATTGATATAACACATATATAACGACAAAACCATCCCCTCGTAAATGGTATTGAAAATTTTGCCTCCTGTGAGTCCGCCAAATTATTTTTCGTTTCCCGGGCCTTTTTTTCGTACACCCACAAAAGAATGGGTTTGAACTTTGAACCCTTTAAAAAACCCAATTGGTATTTGGTAAAGTTAAAAGGAAAGTCTGCCTTTTCATATACGAATTACGAAGTGGTTTCTCTATGCTTCTTCCTTTGATGAAAAAGCTCACCCTTTCCATTCACTCTCTCTAGAGCATTATACGCCGCTCTCTGGAGAATGACCGATTCCGACGGAACCGCCACCGCTCTACAGCCGACGATCCATAACCACCCCACCGCCGAAGCAATCCGAATACAAGATGATGGTGCCACCAGCCTCAACACCACCCAGAAGCAGCAATCTCAGCATTTGGCCCCTCCACAGCGCAACCGCGACGCCGTGATTTCTCACCTAATCGAGACCTTGCCCACTCCCTCTGTCCTCTCCAAACGCTACGACACGATTTCGACCGAGGAGGCTGCGGACGTGGTTGGCTGCATCGAGGAGGAAGCTTTTGTTGCTCCAGCCACTCCACTTCGCCCGAGGATGAAGGGTTCAAAATCCTCCACAGCTTGAACTTGTTAGGAACTTTTAACTTCATGTGGTATGCGTTCTTCTTTGTTATATGCGTAACTTTGCCTTCGAGATTGAGATCTAGGGTGCATGTGGCAGATCTGAAAGTTTGAGAGTCAGGGGAAATTGCTACTTCCATTTGATTCTTCTTTGATATTTTCTTTCAGCCTGTAGAAGTGATTCTCGGCTGGCTTGTGAGAAAGATGAGATTAATCATTCAACAATATCATCCCAAAAGGTAATCTTTTGTTTCTTAGTGTTATTATCTCCATTTAAGAAATTGTGATTTTAGTTCAAGGGCATTTGAGATTTGTTTGTGATATTAGACCATTGTCCTATTTTGAATGCTAATCGATCAATAATTAGACATAATGGGGAAGGGCATATGGTGGCTCAGAGGATACGTTGTCTCCTGTTTGTTGCTGCTGTTGTGCTCTGTATGGCATCCAGTTTTGCATTTTTTTGGCTTTCATCATCAGAGGATGCAGGTTGGTGCTGTCTACTTTATGTTTTGATGTTGGTCTGTTTGTGGTGGTTGTTCAAGTTTCTTCGCTGCTTGTTGGTGGTCTGTTTATGGTGGGTGGTAAATGGACAACTAACAGTTGCTCTGCTGCTTTTTTTGGGTCTGTTTATGGTGGTTGTTCAAGTTGGGCTTTGCTAGGTGTTTGCGTTTAGCAAAGAGTATATTATTGGTGGTGTTGCTACTGTGAATTATGGGTGAATGGTTTCTTCTTCTCAACTTCTGTAAGTTATTGAATAACATCACTCTATTCTAATTTCTCCAGCAAGGACTTGGAACGACATAGTCAAGACCAAACGGGTCAAAGAAGAGTGTTTCTTGAAGCTGAAGAAAGGATATGATTGTTGTGGCCACTAAGAAAGCTAATGAGTATATCTCATTTGTATTATACTATATATAGCTTATATATATATTAAGAGTCCAGAATCCATATTACTTTTGCCTTTTATTTTACTAAAGCCTAAGCACAAACATGTTGTACTCCTTGACAATTATATACTCGTTATTGAGATCAGATTTCAAATGGTGAATATTAACAGTAGTAATTGTTATGGGTATTTTCTATGATCGTATCTTTCCTCAATGAGCAGAGGAGTTGGGATGCTTTTAGTGTCGATAACGATAGGAAATTACATACTAGGTAACATATTATTGAGGGTAATCATGTTGTTAATGCTTACAAATCTAGGTGGGGAAAATTAATATTTAACGACCGGAAAAGACTACTCTCGTTAAAGCTTTTAACGACCGGGTGGTGTTTTACCGTCGTTATTGACTTTTAACGGCCAAGCCTATAATGAGGGGTTCTATCCCGTCGTGAATGACTTTTCCCGACCGTTTTTTGACATGTAACGACCGTTTTCCCCCCTCGTTGAAGCCTCTTTTTTTTGTAGTGACATTTAATATGTGGACTCTCCCTAATATTTGTCATATTCGTCATCTTTTCGCTTCACTTACTATATCGTAAATCCATATAAGTTACATTCATTTTAACGTAAAGTTATTAGTACTCGTGTTATTTTTAAGGATCGACATATCTCGATCTACATCCTCAATCATGTTTAGTCACCGCAAGACGAGCATGGATACTAAAATACTCACATCCCATCTCATTGTAATTTCTATTTGACGTCAATATTTCCGACGAGTCTAAACAATCATAGGGGGGAATAAATGACAAGATAAGTTGCCATATATTTGTACAAAATACAAAAACCAGGTCATATTGCCTTAATATTTTATAATAAAAAATTCATAATATTGCCTTAGTATAGGAGAGCGTCGGTTTCTCATTCACTGCTTTTTATTCACTTTCCTTAACCTACCAACACCATGCACTCACATATTGTTAATTACAATCTAACCCAAAACTATTCCTATAAATTGGCTACGGGTCAGTCCATTGGAGACTACGAAAAAAAAAACAAAAAACAAAGTACTCAATTACAATAATGGTGGGCATAGATGTTAGATTTCAGCTGCCCAACTACATTTCTGAAGTCCAAGAACAGGTCTCGATTTCCAAAACCTTGGACATGTCACCTAGATTTGGTTATCGTACTTCTGATGTTACGCGCACGCGTAAATTCGTTTTTCGTACTGTCGGACTATATGATCGTTGGATGTATATACAGGGGATATTGGACCAATGCTTTGACACCCTAATGGAGCTTCGGGGCCCCAACGATCTGACGGTCCTGCTAGACTCCATCAACAACTTCCTTCCCCTTGCTCATGAAAACATTCAGCAGCTCCACCGTGAAATGTACTTAACAATCAAATTATATATTATTGTCAATATTTTTTTTTTGAGGAATTACTTCTTAATTAATTGGTGTGTTTGTGTAGGTGTTACTCTGTGGTCCGATTTGATGAAGTCGTGACCTATGTCAACAGGCTCCGATCCAACGCTATTTGGTAAAAATTCGATCCACGTACGATATAACGTTCTGGTAGACGAATTTTACAGTACTTTATAATATTGGTTTGATTCTCTTTTTTCATTTTTTTTTCTTTTTTTGTATTAGCATCGGAGGAGGCAGGTTGGCGGACCGCTGTTATGACATGTTGCGTGCTTGCCAGAGATTTGATCAAGAAATGTAAGCAAAACCTAATTATATAAAATTATCAAATAATCACTTCAATTTGTATAAAGATATTAATTAATTTATCGTTACATCGAATTCCGATTTTTCGTTGATGCTAGCTTCACGTATGTATAACTCAGGTGTGACGAATTATTTTCACGAGTGAGAGAAGAATACAGCATTCTTGTTCGCACCTTAAAGATTATCTATGAGGTACGAGTCGGTACATAATATAAACTCGGATGGTAATTATGATAGTTATATAACTATATCAACTGATCATCAAAGCTTATCTGATCTCTTTGCTTTGTATTAATATGAATTTACTCAGATGGAAGCGATTATTGTGAGTGCACAGATGCGAAGGCTAAGGAATAATCTTCCTAAGTAATTTGATCATCAAGCCAAGAAGCTGCTGCTAGCTAATCCGCTGTTCAAAGAGAATTATCATCGTCATTAGATATAGATTAATTCAAACTGTTGCAATTAGTTTCTTCAGTTAGTTGTTTACTTTGATCAAGTATGAAGAATGAAAAGATTCCATCTGTTGTTTCTCATCTTGTAGCTCTTTCCAAACAAGTTTTTTTCGATATTATTCAACTAAATGTGCCAAGTAAATTAACAAGATGAGCACTAAACATCAACCAACTTGCAGTCCAGTAATATAGTCATATAGATATCTCGATGATATTACTCAAGGAGTAAAATCATGTGTGTTCTGACACACAAATACACAACCATCTACAGATATTATTTGATGTGAGAATTTGGAAACCGATAACTTGAGTTCTACGAGCGAGAAAACCCCACTTGACGTGATTGTTGAGTAGGTTCATGTAAAATAATTGATGTCGAGTTTCGACAACATAGTCCTAAGGAAGCTACTCCGAGCAATCGAGGGTACTCTCTCGAAATTCAGCAAATCGTCCCCCATGACATATTAGTGCGGAACCATAACTATAGTAGTAAGAGACTCATCAACTTAAAACCTAAATATAAGAGAGAACAGTCAAGAAAAACGTTCTACAAGAAGACGACTATTCATACTAAATGAGGCGAGGCGCCCACCGTTCTATATATAGTACACTACTCAATACTCATCATGATCGTAGACATGACTATTTTCACGAATAATCCTCAGATTGTCTTAGGTCAGAGTTGGTATATATTATTGTCTTCCTGGGTTTAGTTAGGGTTGAGTTGTAACTCGACAAACTAATTATATCTATTTACATTTTTACGATATACGACGATAGAAAAAATATGGATAACCTTTCAGTCCTTATAGACTATAAAGTCAAGTAAGGCAAAAACATAATTACCCAAGAAGAAAAATGAAACTCAGCCAGCACATTTTCACACCAATTATATATTTTGATAAGGAACAAGGCAAGACGCTTATTTGGAATTACCAATAATTTTCTTCCCAATTTCTCACTACCTAAAATGCCTCAAAATACATTTCCCCCTAAAACACAATAAGTATTTTATTTATTTATTTATTAGTTATTACAAATTCCCTCCTTAACTCATTCCCACCATTTCCAAAATCCTCTCCCCATACGCTCCCTCCGCCCCCGCCGGCCGCCGTCCGCCGGAGACCACCGTTTCAAATGGCGACGGGAAGTGGGCCGAATGATGAGAAGCAGATTGTTTTGGGACAACAGGAAGAGTTCATCCGAAGAATGAAATATGAGGCAATTGTTATACTATTATTTATTATATTAATAAATAAATTTAATATTTGTTTTTACTGTTCACTAAGGGGACGGTGAATGGTGTGGTGCAGGGGACATTGGACGTGTATTTCGACACGGTGACGGAGCTCCGGTCGCCGGAAAGTCCTGCCTTTCTGGTGGAGATGATTGACCTTTACTTGGCTGAGTCACCGGCTTTGCTCGCCAGATTGGAGAGGGAGATGTAACTATTCTTATTATGATGATTTATGACTAATAGGGTTTTTTTTTTCCAATGTTATATTTGATTGATTTTAAATATATTGTGGACAGAAATCAGATTATTCCTTCACATGAAACCGTGATTAAGGACATCTTTCAACTCAGATCCAGCTCTGCCAGGTACGAAATAATTGCCTTCTGCATCCTTGTCAATATGATAAATAGTTATTGTGTTTGTACTTAGATAAATATGCTAGTGGGTGTGTTCTTGTTTAATCTCGTTTTTGTTATGTGTATAATTAATCTGAGTTCGATAACCAAAATAAGGGTTTATATAGAGTATGTCGATCGATCGTAGAATTTTTGAACATAATTCTAGTTCGAGATTCATTTACCGGTAATGATGAAAAAACAACTGTGGAAGATAATTATCTAATGAGTAATGACCATCATTATTCACTAACACTTATCCTAATAATTAAGGACATTCTAATTTAACAACAATTAAAAAAAATTCTAAACAAACCTTTTTTTTAAATGGCAGTGTTTTGTGTTACAACCTGATCGATGGTATTCTCTCTCGCGCATAAAATAATTTGTAATCGGTATAAGAGAATGAAATAAAGAATTATATACAACCCATTTTTTCACAATAACTCGATCCAATGAAATGAATCGATAGTAAAAGTTAAAAAAAAACGCTCTTCAAAAGACCGGCTCGCATCGCGGGCATCTATTTTTCATTTAATTATTTGTAATGGTGGATTACTATCCATCATCTCCTAATGCTTGTTGGGTGGATGAATGCCAGCATGGGAGGTGGAAGGTTGGCGGCTGCTTGCCTTGAATTCAAGCATGCTTATGATGACAATAAACTAAGGTACACCTTCCACCAACAAATTCGTTCTGATTTCTGGTTTCGCCGCGTTACAATATGCTTAAACTTAAACAAGAAATGAGGGGAGAAATAATATTATCGTAGGTGCTTTGAGGCTTTCACGAAGTTGAAGCACGAGTACGAGAACTTTACGGGTGCCCTCGTCACTATTGGTCAGGTATGCATGTATGATGTATTTGTCAAGAACAACTTTCATCTTTGTGGATTTGTTATGGTATTATTAGGAAGAAGAAACCCCAGAATATCAGGGTATATGATCTGTTGACTGTTGCTGTTCCACATGTGGTTGACTGATGGCAGATGGAGAGGAGAATCCTAAGTGACGGTAACGGTAACGGAGGTGCAGTAGCAGCAGGCCCACCGGCGCCGGCCTCTCCCGCCGATGGATCGGGGATGGACCTGGACCTGGACTCGTTGATCCAATTTTAGCAGAGCCCATTTGATAGAAATCTGGGTTTTATCGTGGTCTAATGGTCTTGGATGTTCGGGTTGTTTATTATGCTTTGTAATGTTTGGTCATTGTTGGATTATTCGAGTACTTTCGGGTAGTATTTTCATTTTCAGATTGAGAGTTAATTAGGGTAATTTAAGAAAATTTGTTTAGACTTATATATTATGTCATTGCAATTTGGGGGGGGGGAAACCCTAATCTCATTACTCTCTTCTTTAGCCCAATTCTTTCTCCTTTACCCTCTCCTACTCTCTTTGTTCCCCTCTCTTGCCAACCCCTAACACGAATGAAATTCAAAATGTCACGACTGTTTCTCTGCGGATTCAGAAATTGGAGAATTCGATAATGAAGAAAACGAAAGCGCAGACACATGACATAAGATTTACGTGGTTCACTAACACAATGTGTGTTAGCTGGTCCACGTACAGAAGAGAGCAAGTTTCACAATACTTTTAGGAGATACAGATTACAGTCGTAGCGGCTGATAGTCCGATTCAAGTCACATCAATGCAAAATTTCTCGACCGTTGGAATCGAACACGGACTAGATGAAGAGCAAGACTAGCAAGATTGATGGACCATAGCGCTGCGTTTTCACTTAAGCCAAAGTGTTGTCGTTTTACCTTGTGTGTTTCATAGTTAGTAAAATACGGTACGGGAAAGTTATGTATAAGATATGTACAGGTATTATACTTCGTCTCTTAGCTAATGTTACGTAATAGTACGTTAATAGTCATAAATATATAAAATTAATTATTTTTATAAATAAATATGTATAAAATAGCAAAGTTAATAATTTATTTCATTAAATACGGATATTAAACGTGTTATACGGGTTTTATACGTGTTTAGTACGGGGGCCGTCAAATGAACGGAAACAAATGAAACGGCTTGACAATAATATGGATACGGAAGTTTTAAACGGATAAAGTACGTACGGGTATATATACGTGTATTAAATGGAGTATTTACTGTGTTTCTTTTCATCCAAGGTTGGCCTTGTTCCCTTTCAAGTTAAAGAATATAAGACTGAGCTTAAGTGTCGTGTGTTCGATTTTCAGTGACGGCATTTTTCCTTCCCTTAGTAGCACATTGTAATAGATTAATATATATATATATATATATATATATATATATATATATATGGTGGCGTATTCAGTGCACCCACTTTTTTGGGTGCACTCAGTGCACCCGCCTCATAATTGTCATTCTGAGCATGTGATTCATGTCAAAACGGTATCAATTGTTGCTTATGATATTGTGAACAAGAAGCACATGAATTTGAAAAAAATTCATTCAAAATTTACTTTAATTTGAAGGATTTAGGATTTAGGGATTTAGGGTTAGGGATTAGGTTTAAATTTTGAGGTTTTGGATTGGGATTCAAAATTGAACGTTAAGGGGTTAGGGTAATAGATTGATTTGTTATGATTCTATGTCATATCATCATATTAGATTGAGAATACTAATTAAAGTTCAAAATTTGATGTAATATGGACACTTTTAGAGTGGGTGCACTGAGTGCACCCAAAAAAGTGAGTGCGCCGAAGTAGCCACCATATATATATATATATATATATATATATATATATATATATATATATGGTGAGTTCTACGGTACCCCGGGTGAAATCCGGGGTACCGCATACCTTGAGTAAAAAAAAACGCTATCTAGACCTCGAATTGACTGATCTTTCGGACATGATACTATACTCTAATCCATAAAGATCAAAATATAGGTCTTAATTCACTTAATCTTATACCCCAAGATCAATTTAGTTAGAAATAATAATCGACGGTTATGATTTATCCAAATATAGGCAAAAAAATCAATGCACCATCTTAGAGTTTATAGTTTATGATTTAGATAATTAGGACCTAGGGTTCACTCATTAAGGGTTAGGGTATAGTATCATGCCCAAAAACCCTGCTAATTCGAGGTCTAGATAGCGTTTTCATACTCAGGGTATGCGGTACCCCGGATTTCACCCGGGGTACCGTAGAACTCACCATATATATATATATATATATATATATATATATATATATATATGTGGTTACGTCTTCGGTGCACTCACTTTTTTTTGTGTATTCAATGCACTCACTTCATAATTGACATTCTGAGCAGACGATTCATGTCTAGACAATGTTAATCATCACGTATGATACGACGAACAAGAAACCCCATGAATTGGCACAAAAATTATTCCAAATTTACATTAATTTGATGAAATTATGGTTTATGGATTTAGGGTCAGGCTAGGGTTCATGATTTGGGGTTTAGGACAAAATTTCAAAATTGAAGGTTTAGGGCTTCGGGTAATGCATTAGTTAGTTGTGATCTTATGTTATATAATCATATTACACTAATCTTGCCAATCAAAATAAAAAATTGATGTCTTAAGACTACTTTTTGAATTGGGTCCATTGAATGCACTCATTTTTGTGAGTGCACAAAAGTAGCCACCATATATATATATAATAAAAAGCTGTAAGACAAAATGCAACTGGTCACTGTTGTCTGCTAGTGAGATCAACTGCATATAAAAACTAAGAAATGAATGGAAAAAAAATCAGGCCTCAGGGTTTCACTTCATGTCAAACTTTGTTAACCCTTTTTCTTCTTCCAAAATTCTTCTCTTTGTCCCCTTTTTTTTGTCGACTCCTTTCTTCTCTCTTCTCCCTTTCGTTTCTCTTCTTAATTATCTTTATCCTAATCAGTGACGCTCAAAATCCAAGTTCTATCACCCATCCTCATCTTGAAACTGCTATCTATGCTGAACAAACCCAAGGATCATTGTTTTATCCTCTGCTGGATTAATTAGTTTTGAAACGGTGATTTGTGTACGTCAACATATTGACCACGAACACAGTAGTTGTTTCTTCTATGAGGAATTCTACAAACAGTGATTTGTGTACCTCACAAAATGGGAAGCTACATCAAGAATGTTTTCAGCTTTCTGGAGGAATTCTACAATACTGGTCCGGTCTCAAAACTGGTGGACAAGTAAAGGGTCATCTCAAACCAAAGAAGAGAAGGTTTTGAACACTCAAAGACTATGCGTCTAAGCCCGGCTTCATGAAGATGCACAACAGACAGGTGTATACAGCAGTCGCGGTTCTCGCTTGAACAGGGACATGAAAAGCTTCAACGCCACAATCTGCATGCGTCGAAAAACCCAGGCAAAATCAGCACTTGAACAGAAAGTTCCTTCCGAAACTTGTTAAAAGCTCGACACTACCCTGAAACTATAAATGGAAGTTGGCCTACATTGACCCACTTACTTGAGACACAAGATTCTCAGCAAAATCGCACACCACTTCTCAAGAGGCAGTGTCCATTACGGGGTGCTGTTAATTCTTTGGGATAGTAACACTCAAAATTTTCACATCTTGGTATGGCCTGTCTCCCTTGTCAGTCTTCACCTTCTCAATTCCCTGTAATCGCCATAACTTTTAGCCGTAAAAGTAGAGATAATAATAGGTTGCAGCATGCCATGTCTCATGGAAAATGTAGAGTTACCTGGACAACATCCATTCCTTTGATGACTCTGCCGAATACAGTATGTTTACTATCCAGCCACGGTGTGGCTACAGTGGTGATGAAGAACTGAGAACCATTGGTGTTTGGCCCGGCATTGGCCATAGATACTGTGAATGGCCTATCGTGCCGTAAGCTGCAAAGGAGAGGGGGAGAAGGAGAGACATGGGTCAATAAGATAAAAGTCCTCATTTCTCAATCTAATGATTGGCATAGAACACCTTTCATGGAGAGTTGGTTAACCTTTTGTGAAATTCATCCTCGAACTCCCTTCCCCAAATGGACTGCCCGCCAGTGCCATCTCCCAAAGGATCTCCAGTCTGTATCATGAACCCTTTGATGACACGATGGAATATCAGATTATCATAATAACCATTCCGGCAGTGTGTTGTGAAGTTCTCCACAGTTTTCGGACACTCTTCAGGGTAGAGTCTCATATGAACGTCACCCATTGTAGTGTGCATAATCTGGCATTAAATTTGGAAATGTTACTAGAAAAATAATCAGAGAACAGCAAGCTCCCCCTTCCTTCTATGTATCATGCAAAAGAAAATACTATTTCCAACATAGGAGAACTTGGTTACAACCATAAGTAATTAAATAAATGAGTAAATACAACAATTCTGATTGGCAAATAAACTAATTAAGGGCGCTCGTCTATTAATTTGATAAGAAAACTCACCACATTCTCAGGGAGAGATGATGCTGCGGCCTTTCCTAATTCTGAAACAGCCAAGAGTTCATCTGCTGGAGGCTTCTCATTGAAAACATCCCTACCTTTAGTTGCATCCTCTGGCTCTTCTGGCTCTCTCCGGCTGTTATTAGTATATTAAGAAAGTGATAAAACCAAATGTCATAACCTCATTGTTGTGCTGGATGATAGCAAGCTACTTGCATACTTTACCAACTCATTTTGAGAGCACATAATTTTAGCTGTCACATCAATGTTTTCTAATTCAATTATTTCATGGACATTCAAGTACCTTCTATCACGATCGAACATTAAGACGGGATGGGTTTATATTTATTCAAACTAATCTAGAAGCTCAGCCAGAAGATAAGCCCATAATTATCCTTCTACCTCTGGGGAATAACTAGATCAGATATTTGTTTCTTTCATACAGACCTTTATTAACTTAAGTGGAAGAAAACATTTATCCGCTTTTGATAAAACGATGTACTTTGGGCAGGGAAATCAAAGCACTTCAATACAAAGGACTGACTCTAAAAGCTCTTCAGCATGGAGTTAGGGAAAATCAGGCAAATACATAAGCCACACACCTGAATAAATAAATCCTGTGCTTCTTGAATGCACAGCATAAAAGAGTAGGGTCAGTTAATGGCTCTTTGCTCTCATTTGCATTAGCTGCTGCAGTTGGAATTTTTCGAACTTTTTTATTGCTTCGGTCTCCTTGATACAAGGCAATTCGCAAGAACCTGTCGTTGTTCTCCACTTTTCCTAGGATTCGGGCCACTTTATTCGTGTGCAGATTTACTACCTACATATACATAGAAGGTCCAAATAGTTGGACAAAACCATTGAATAGGTGAATAACAACCTAAGCATAAAAGTATCTGCAATTAGACGATACAATCAAAGTTCACTTACTTTTATTCCCAGTAGCGTTGCATATATGAGAAAATTGGAACTTTCATCAAAAACAGCATTTGGCTGTGGTGCAGTTTCTGTTTTCTCAAATTCTTTCTCAACAGCCATCCTTCGTCCAAAATCAATGGCTTCTAGTCGGTACAAAGGAGCATCACTCCTTTGGAGGTCTTGAGCAACCTACCCACAGCGGATAAAAATATTTTAAGAAAAAGCTAAAGGCACAGAGTTACAGTGGAAGTCTAATTAAACATTGGTCTTTACCTCTAGAGATTCATCATAAACTCGTCTTAGTTTACCCGTTCTGAACCAAAATACTCGTATCCTGCGATCAGGTGACGTAATTGAGAATTGCTTACCATCTGGGCTGACCTGAATGGGGGTAACAGTTTCAGATTGAATAATTGTTTCCTTTTTATAATTTAACCATCAAGCACCCACAATGCTTATACAAAAGGAAGTCATATTACCTCAATAGCTGAAACACTTGTTTTGCATTTCACAATTTCGAATAAGTTTGTATCAGTTTTTAATTTAAAATTCACCCTGCATTGCAAAATTAAAAGAAAAGGAGGTCAGACATCAAAACCACTGACAATAGCGAAAAGGAAAAAAGTTACTGCATAAGTTGCAAAAATAATGGAACCTAACAGAAAGAATTACTACGAATAGATGAAGATGGACGGCATTAAGATGAAAGCAAGGACCAGAAGTGCATCATCTTAATACAGATTGAAAACAAAAGGAATAAGACAGGATATAGCATCTCAATGAATTCGGACAGCCCAATTTTGTAAAAGTACATGTAAATGTGCACATACTCATCCTCTGGAAACTGAAGTGTAGAAGGACTCCAATATTCAATTATTCCCTTCATATCAGCAGATATCACAGAATCGTAAACTGGGTTGAACTTCATAACTTTGACTGGCCCCATGTGAATCTGGAGGAACAAATCAAAACAAAAAATTTGATCAAGGAAAGAGGTAAGGTTGCTTCTCGTAGGAACCACTGGCATCGCTAATTGGTTACCTCTCTCGAGATAATAGGTTCATTTGTACCGGCTCGTGCATCATATATGTGAACAAATGAGGAGTTTCGATCACTTATTGCAAGCTTGGCTTTCACATCTCCTTGTTCATAAACCCATTCAACACTCCCAGGAAGATATGGCAAGCTAAGCATGACCATCATGTCATAATTCACCACATCATAGATCTTGACAGATTGATCACTTGATATCGTGCAACAAAGCAAACCATCAATGCTAACCTGCAAAGCTGGAAAACGGTCATGGTTGAGGAATTCGCCAACCGTCCAACATAAATGGAAATGAAAGCAAACAAGAACTGCTAGCGATATCCTAAAGATATCATGTTCATAATAAAAACTATGACAAATACATAAGCACGGGACAAAGAAAACAAAAAGTTCTCTGAACTCACAATCTTACTTAAGCATGTGAAGTGCCTTTCCAACCAAAACAAACTAGGTTAATTTAAAACCGAATAAACTACAAGATGATCAATGAAAAAGGTCTTCCCGATCCAAAATTTTGGTCCATCACAAACCCAATCGACAATCAAGTAATGCACAAATAAGTAAACGAGGCAGCGAAAAGAACTCACCGCTAAGCCTTCTATGGGACCAAGATGGGATCTGAAATGTTTTGCAAATTCAATACCAATCGATTTTTTCTTCCAGAATTTCAAGTGACCTGAATACACAAGGAATAAGAAAAGCATCCGTCAAAACACAAAATTTCCAATCCCTGATATCCACTAAGCCATCATAAAAGAAGCCAAAACATAGCCGGTCAGATTGCATTCCCTGGACAATAAGTGATCAATCAGTTCTTTATAAAAAGGTTCAGAGCCTGGACTCTTAATCTCAGAATTAACATATATGCAAACTCAAGTTTGTCAACATGAAATATTTCAACAAATGCAACTTCAAATGCTGCAGTACGATATGGATTGACGGAATAAACAGTGAACAAACCAAATATAACAATTTGGAATAAGCTCGACCAACCAAAGGAAAATTAATTGAGTTAAATCGTCACTAGCATATTCAGTCCATGTCAAGTCAACAAATTGAAACGGCCAACAACCTTGTAAATCAACTGTCATCACCAATTTCCACTCTTCTGTGTATTTCATAAGATAAACTCCAGGCAAAGGAAGGCAAGCCTCAAGCCCATGGAATATAGAAAAGTTATCATCAATATGTTAACTCATGCAATATATAAACTTTCTGAAATAGCAACCATCAACTAAGGGAGCAGACAATCTGAACAGCTTCGATCCAAAATAATGTATCCAGTAGACAGTATAGTGCATGCACATTATGTTCAAGAAAGTCTTTAAGTCAAAATACAGTGATTCTGCTGAAACTTGCAGACAACCTTTAAACTAAAGAGCAGCTCGAAAAATCTTCAAAATTATGCTAACAAGAACTCGTTTCTACATAACTATCATTATTATTAGTATAAGGCAAATATAGGGCTGTCTTTGGAGCTTACGAAGAAACACATTTAAGGAAAAAAATTCAGGAACAAAGGACACCGCATGAGTCACCCTCACAGATATAGGGAAAAAACAATACCATCAAGACTTCCAGTGATGAAAAAATCTGCTGCTGAAACAGCAACATGCGTCACCACATCTCGATGCATATAACTTTTCTCATACCTGTCATGTACAGCATAAGAGAATAAGCTCTCTTGTCGCAATTATAGCTAAACAAGCAATTATAACAACTTTCAGCCAATGTAAGAAAAAGGGCAAATTTTGAAGCATATGATGCATCACAGAGAACAAATATGCTAAAACTTCAAGATATGATATTGAATGATGAAAGAAACCGAAGGAGAATAAATGTAAGAGAGAAAGGGATACATGGCCTTCTGAGTAACTCAGAAATCAGGCAACCACATTGCAAATTTGCAACCAGAAAAATCAACCCCCCTACCAAATTACACCGATCAACTACTAAGAATCATGAGGCAAACGTCCCGTGTTAATTACTTAAGTGTGTTGAAGATTAACAATTTGAGCAAGTTAAAAACAAGGGAATGGAATAAGAGATCCGAAAACAACAAAACTAAGCAACAACAACACTCAATCCCCCTGAGGTAGAAGGTTAAATAATCAACCAATTGACACCAATGTCTAATCTATTTCGGCCACCTCCTGTTCTACTTGAACTAACCACAGCGAAAGGCAGTCACTACAAATCAAGAAACGGGGAAATCCTAAGAAAATGTCCACAGCTTTAAAACTAGAGCTCCAATTCCACTACCATAGTGGCACAGGGGCAAAAGGATAAGTCCTAACATTACTTCATCACAGTCCCACGAACTAAACACGAGAACACCAAAATAATTTGATAATACCCGCACAGATACGAAGCTATGCTACGCTCTGAATCAACCTAAACCCTAAACTAACAAGCGCAGGGCCTGAGGGAGCATTCTAAGGGGGAAGCAGGAAATTGCATACATATTTGCTGAGGGAAGAGCGTCGAGGTAAGCATGCTCAAACTGGAGAGGACGCTTGGTGCGAGCTTTAGGAGGCGGTGCTGGGCCGACGGCAGGCTCCTCGGTCTCCGGTGGAGGAGGCGCCGAGTTGTCGTTCGCGTTCCCGTTTTGTGGCTCCTCCATTTGTTGTTGAAACCGACGACTCTTCGCAAGCGAGACGGAGGGAGAAGAAAGTAGATTCCGGCGACGGGAGTTGCGATTTTGGGATTTAAGCTTCAAGTCGCTGGATAGTATCCAATTTCCTGATAAGCACCGGCCGCCGTTAGTTTGTCGGCCGTTGTGGTAGGAGCAGGACTTGTTTTTGAAAATTAAAAACGTTTTCACTCTAGTACCTCCTCCTAATTTTAGATACTCATTTGATCATCAAATTATGTATCTTCTTTCAAAGAAGGACCGAAAATTAGGTGAAAATAATTATATTGGGCCGCTAGGTGAAGTTTGAATGGGCTTGTGATAAGGTCCGATGGTTATCCTACTGAATGCAACGAGGGATACGGAGAAAAGAGGGCCCATAAATATCGATCCATTATTCCTAGCCATGTCGTGATGTCCACGGTCCACCACATATAGTCATATATTGTAACCACTTTGACCTTCAACTCCAACTCCACGTAACATTGTTGCAAGTGAAAGAGATTTTCGAACCTCGTCTTATAATTTCCGTATCAATCTTCCACCATAATTAGCATCGTTGGTTTGATATCCAGTGATTTTACAATCTCTGCAAATATAAACCGGTAGAATGAGAACGAATTGAAAGATCTTGTTGTACACCGGGACGAACCAACCAGTATACGCCAGTGGGGGATTTTTATTTTATTTTATAGAAACCTGAATTTTATTCATCTCTTAAACCATCCTTCTCAAGAAAGGAAAGGATAGACAAAGGGGGCCTATGGACCCAGAGTTCTGTAGTGTCCCAATTACAATTCAAATGGGCCATGGCATGAGCCGGTTCGTTTGGTAAACCTCCATCGAACCGACCCAAGCCCCGCCGCTCTGATTTTGATCTCGCGGCAAACACTCCTCCTTCCAGCCTTATCATTTCCTCCGCCTGCATCTGGTTAATGGCGTTGAGACAATCGCTTTCCACCTCCACAATCTGAAAATTATGCTCCTCCGCCATCTCCACGCCAAAGGCAATTGCTCGCAGTTCAGCTAATTCTGGCGGCCATTGGATCCTTTCTCGATGCACTGCTGCCACAAGAAGCTGCCCATTCGCGTCTCTGGCCACCACTCCCAAACCAGTCCCTTCCTCCGCCAGTACAGCCACATCCACATTCAGCTTCACCCAGCCTTCCTGCGGTTTCTCCCAGGTATCATTTCTTTCTCCCCCCTCTTCCTTTTCCTTCGTGTGATGCAATTGGAATTCCTCCCAGTAGGCTAGGGCACGCCCCACGATCTCCCATTCTTCAGCTTTTTTCTTGTTGAACATGTGATTGTTCCTCTCGTTCCAAATTGACCACAATAGTATGCATAGCTTCTCCAGAACCTCGTTTTCAGTTTGATCCATAACCACGCAGAGCCAGCTCCCAGATGATAGATTGGGTTCAATTTCGAAAAGGGATCTGAACATAGAATCTTTCCAAATTCTAATTGACCACTGGCATTCCCTGAAGATGTGATTCTGGGTTTCTTCTAGGAAGCAGAAAGAGCACTTTGTTGCTGCCTCTTCCTTTCTTTTCTCGATGTTTTTTCCTGTAGGGAGGATCTCATGAGCTAATCTCCATAGGAAGATTTTAACTTTTGGCGGAACCGTTAGCTTCCAGAGTCTTGCCCAGTCCATAGGATCATAGATTTCCACACTTACCTCTGCACCATTACCATGCACTACTTCCATATCACCATCTACCTCTTGTCCCATATGAACTCCCTTCATATGTTGTTTGTATGCTGATTTGACTGTGTAACAACCCTTCTCTCTGCACTCCAGACTAGGGTGTCCTCAGTTGGTTGCCTTGGAATAGGAATGACAAGTATTTTCACTCTGTCTACTTCATTGAAGTGAGTCTGCAACATGTAAATTCTCCAGCTGCCCTGCTCATGGTCAATTAGATCAATGACCCTAGTTAAACCCCCAACAGTAGGCTTAGGTGTTGTCACCCGAAACTCAGTGTCTTCTGTACCCGCTACCCATTTATCTGACCAGATATTGATGGTTGAGCCATTTCCCACTCTCCATCGAATTCCATTCTTCACAGTCTGTTGAGCAGCCATGATGCTTCTTCAAGTATAGCTAGGATTAGACCCTAGTCTTGCTTGGAGAATGGTGGAATTTGGGTAGTACTTTGCTTTCAGCATTCTAGCTACTAGGGATTCTGGATTGTTGATGAGATTCCAGATTTGCTTCCTAACAGTGCTATGTTGAAAGTCTTCAAGTCCCTAAACCCCATTCCTCCTTCCTTCTTTGGTTTACACAGTTTGCGCCATGCTTTCTAGGGGATTCTCCTCTCTTCCTTCTGCTGTCCCCACCAAAAATTTGCTATGGCTTTCCTCATCTCACTCAACACACCATCAGGTATAAGAAACACAGACATTTAGTAGGTGGCATGTGCTTGTGCCACTGATTTTATCAGTACTTCTTTAGCTGCTATGGAAAGGGTTTGTCCTTTCCAATGCTTTATTTTCTTCCTTATGCGATCAAACAGTACCTGAAAGACTGCCTTTTCTCCCTGCCCATTACTGTAGGTAGCCCTAGGTATTTTTGATGAAAATCCACCTGTCTCATTCCAAGTATATTAGACAATTCATCTCGTTTGATCTGATCCACACTTGGGCTGAAACTAAGTTCAGATTTTTGCAAATTAACCACCTGTCCTGACTCCTCCTCATAGATCTTAAGAATATCCTTCAAGTGGCTGCTTTCTTGGGGAGTAGCCCTTGTAAACAGGATGTTATCATCCGCAAACAGAAGGTGTGAGATAGCTGGTCCTCTGGCCGAGGTTTTTAAACCGTGAAGCTTCCCTATGGTCACTGCATTATTCAGTAGGGTAGCCAAGCCTTCAACATAGAATAAGAAGAGATAGGGTGATAGAGGGTCACCCTGCCTCAATCCCCTCTCTGGCCTGAATTCCTCAGATCTATGACCATTAACCAGAATAGAATAAGTGACCGTGGTAATGCACTTCATGATCATTCCCACCCATCTTTCTGCAAAACCAAGTTTAAGCATCATAGCCTCTAAGAATTCCCACTCCACTCTGTCATATGCTTTCGAAATGTCCAGTTTGGCTGCCATAAAACCTTTCTTAGCTCGAGTCTTCTACTTCATAGTGTGAAAACATTCGAAAGCCGCTAAAATGTTGTCTGTTATGAACCTTCCCGGTATAAACGCACTCTGTTGCTCTCCTATTACCTGATTCAGTACCCCTTTAAGCCTGTTTGCAAGTACTTTTGACAGAATTTTGTACAGTACATTGCATAGACTTATAGGTCTGAATTCCACAGGAGAAGTTGGTTTGTTTTTCTTTGGGATCAAGGCGATCAAGGTCTTGTTCAGTTCCATAGGAAACTCCCCAGCCTCTAGATAAGTCCTCAATTCACTTAGGACTGTATGCCCTACAACATTCCAGTGCTTCTGAAAGAACCTAGCAGACATCCCATCAGGTCCAAGAGCCTTGTTTGGGCCCATACTTTTTAAAGACATCCATATCTCCTCATCTGTAAACGACTCAAGGAGAGCCTGATTCATTTCTGTTGTCACTCTAGGGGTAACTAGTGGGAGAATTGTACTCACATCTGGTCTTCTTCCTTTAGCAAACAGCCCCTACATATGTTCTAGCAGGCAGGTTGTCACCTCCTGTTGACCTATGAAAACACGGCCAGTTTCATCTTGAAGCCTCCTTATAGTGTTCTTTCTTCTTCTCTCAGAGGCTTTCCTGTGAAAGTAACCTGTATTTTGATCCCCCTCCCTTAGCCAATCAGCCTTTGATCTCTGTTTCCACTTCATTTATTCTTGGAGGATGATGTCATTTAACTCTTGTTCAATTATTTTCCTCTGTTGTAGCATTGACTTGGTTCGTTTCCTCTTTTCTAGAGCCAGCAGAGGTTTTTCTGCCTTCTTCCTTCTCAGCTTCAGAGAGCCAAACGCTTCCTTACTCCAGGTATTCAGCTTCTCCTCGCACTGTTTAATACATTCCAGAGATCCTCCCCCTTGTTGGTTCCAGTCCTCTTCAATTATTTTGTTGCAATCTTCATGTTTCTCCCAATATGGCTCATAGCGGAAAGACCATCCCCAAGTGATATCTTCTTCCTCCAGATCCAGTTTGATTTGGATTGGTATATGATCTGATCCGCATCTCTCTAAATGATAAACTCTCATGTTAGGATAAAGTCCCTTCCATTCCTTATTTCCTAAAGCTCTGTCCAGTCTCTCTTATATGTATTCTTGATCAGCTCGATTGTTCTCCCAAGTAAAAGTTCGCCCATAATAGCCACAGTCTTCTAGGTTGCAAAACTCAATTGCTTCCCTGAATATTTTCATTTCCTTTTCATCAGGTTCTCTATTACCACTCTTTTCCAAGTAGTCTGTGATTAGGTTAAAGTCCCCAATCACTAGCCAAGGTAATTGAACTTGCTGGCTCAACCTTTCTAACAGTTCACAGGTCTGTCTTTTAAGACTTGCTTCAGGCCATCCATAAATTCCTGTTAGCCTCCAAGCCTGTCTGCAATTTGACATCTTAATTTCCACATCCATATAATGCATGTCCCTACCCTTGACCTCCACCTCAATATCTTCTTTCCACATCATCAACAGCCCTCCCGCTCTATTCTCTCCTGCTGCCACTCCTTTCCCATCAAAGAAACCAAGCTCTTTTATCTTCTTTTTCTACTCTTCTTCATATTGTTTTGTTTCCATCAGAAAACAACATCGGGATTTGTATGGCGTAATAACGCCTTAAGCTTCTCAACTGTCGGGGTATTCCCGAGACCTCGGCAGTTGTAGCTCAACAAACTCATTGAGCTGGGTGGCTCTGCTCCTTAGCAGAGTCCGCCACATCACCATCCTTTGTTTTTGGTAGGTTTCCTGGTTGAGCTTCTTCTTCAGGTAGCTTGAAAGTCAATTTCTTGGCTTTCTTCGCTTGTAGTTCCGGATCTGTTTGAATATTTCCTTCCTCCCCAGCATTCTGAGCATTTCTCTTTTGGGGAGTTATTTGTGTGGGATTGTGTACTCGTTCCTTAGTCTGCTCCTGCCTGTGCCAGACTTTGTTTCTGCTTCGATATTGATTTTTCATTAGTTCTAGCCCCATCACAAATGTTGTAATGC